CTTGATGAAGTTAGCCACCTCTCTGAGTGGCCTGAGTCTAGAACAGAGCTTCTTAAAAGTGAGTTTGCAGAACAATCACTTGGAAAGCTCATTTCAACACAGGTTTCTATTCCCCAGGGTCAGATTTCATAGATGGGGCCTGATGATTTGCACTGTAAAAGCTCCCAGGAGGGTCTGACTGCTGGTCACTGGACTACACCTTAGGTGGCAAGTCTTTAACTTCTGAGCCAACTTAGTTGAAGATGCCTCCACTGTCTCCACCGTAGCCTCCTCTTTGAAAAGAAACACCAGATGATTAGGGAGGTTGCTACTGAGTCTTCCCTTTAGAGAAAATTACACAGCAGATTTAGAAAGTGTCACTGAGTTTCTGTGATTTTTTGCTTTGACAGTATGCTACTTTGACTAAAAACTAAGAAGCATGCTTCTGGAACAAAATCTAGAGATAAGATTGAGTTGAAGGAACAACAACTCTGCTTGAAGTGGTGCTGACTGGAAAACAACAGAACTAGTTATTTTAGGAGGACAAATCTATGTGTATAGAAAAAGGCTAGAAGTGCAGATGGCAAAGTGTTGTCAGCTCTCAATATCGGTAATGGAATATGGGGTGATGTTGACTTTTTGCTTTATGCTTTTTTGCTTTACCTTTTTCTACACAGGGCATTTAAATATGGCTTTCATAACCTTAAAATTTTTTCCAAATGTTTTTAAAGGTTAAAGCAAGATATGTGCTCTGTAAATTCACATATTTTTCAGTTAAGTTTTGTTCTGTCTGTGTCTCTATACATTTGGGGAGTTTTTTGTTTGTTTTTTGGTTTTTGTTTTTTTCTGTAGAGAGTAATTTTTAATTTCATTTTTTAATTTTTTTATACAAGTTTTAAAGGTTACTTTCCATTTACAGTGATTGCAAAATATTGGCTGTATGCCCCGTGTTGTACAACACATCCTTGAGCCTATCTTACACCCAGTAGTTTGTACCTCCCACTCCCCCACCCCATATTGCCCTCCCCCCTCCCCACTGGTAATCACTGGTTTGTTCTCTATGTCTGTGAGTCAGCTTCCTTTGTGTTATTCTATATGTTTGCTTTTTAACAGGAAAGGGATTATTTTGTCTGTGAGAGTCCTAGTGTTTAAGGGTGAGGCCCAGCCCTTTACCTGGAAAATGGACGCCACCTGCATGATGAAAATAAGTTTAAGGAATCCCAGAGAAGAGGGTGAAAATTCCCAGGAGAGAGTTAGGGGCAGCTGCCATTCCTCACTCCTTTCCCCTCGAACCATCCAGCACAAGCCCCCAAGAGTTCCTCAAAGGACCTTTTCTTAGAAGGGCTGAAATAAGCTTTAAGTTAATTTAGACAGAATTGGAAAATATTGAAAACTGAGAGAACAATAACCATTACAGCCTCCTGGGGAGGTGCAGAAGCTGCCCATTTGGACACTGGAACCGAACTGATACTGTGGGCTGGTTCCCCTGCATCCAGGCCACGTTTGCCCACTCAGGACAGCCGACCAGAGGGAAGACACCCAGTATAGTAGGAATGATACCCTGTGTCACCATGGAGCAGTGTGTGAGCTCAAAGTGTGTTGGGGAATGATCTAGAAACACTCATCCTGAGGCTTGAAGACACACCTCGTGGGGCGTTACGTAGACTATTAACGTATGTGCTTATATTCAGCAATTCAAAAACAAAAAACCTAAGTCAGTTTTTTCTGATTTTGTTAATCTGGAAACAATCGAAGAAGTTGATATGTATTTAACTCACTTCTGGCACAACTTTCCAACTAAATTCTAGGGTTCTACTGACACCTTCTGGCATTTCATCTATTTTATGTTAAAAACAAAACAAAATGCTTAACATATTTCCCACAGTCTTTTGGCCTTATTATGCCAGGTGTACATTAAGATAACAGACAGAAGGAAAGGTCTGATGGGAAGGAGACATTTGGACGAGACCTGAATACAAATTTCCCAGACACAAAGGGCAGAGGCCGGCTGCTCAGTGACCTTGGACCAGGCTGTGGACCTCACTTTCAGCATCACCAAGAGGAGAAGCTTCAGGTCCCTCCCCATGCCCTTTAGGGCTTGTGGGGATTCGGGGGCCTTTCTACTAACTAAAGCATAAGCCGAGTCACTGGTGTGATGACCTTAAAGGTTACACTCAAGGACTGTTCCATCACAATAAACAAACAAATTATTTTCCACATTGTATTTTCAAAAGATGGATGAATGTTGTTGAAGCCCCCTCAAAGCCTGATATCTCTGTAATTGATTTTAGAAACAACTAAATCAGAATGATCAGAAAGAACCAGCAAACAGTCTCAGAAATGATCCACTTTTTTGCCCCAGGAAACCATGGACTTCGTTTTGTGTTTTGGAACACGTAACAAGGCTTCAGTGCTGCCCAGTTCATGCCAACGAAATTATTTGTGCTTTTTCTGTCCCTTCTTGGGAAACTCTGTGTGGGCCTGTGGTTTGTTTGGCCAATCACAGGATATTTGATTGTCCCCAGGGAGTTAGAGTCCCTTTTTTTTTTTTTTTTTTTTTGGTACACGGGCCTCTCACCGTTGTGGCCCCTCCCGTTGCGGAGCACAGCCTCCAGACGCGCAGGCTCAGCGGCCATGGCTCACGGGCCCAGCTGCTCCGCGGCATGTGGGATCTCCCTAGACCGGGGCATGAACCTGTGTCCCCTGCGTCGGCAGGAGGACTCTCAACCACTGCGCCACCAGGGAAGCCCTAGAGTCCCATATTTATCCTGGCAGAGGAAGTGAAGTCTGATGAGGAAAATAATTGAGGCGTTTCTTCAAGGCTGCTATTTCACTTCTTCCTCCTCCCTCAGAACCCTGACTTCACCATCATGCTTGCTGAGGCTTTCAGTGCTATTTACAGTCCCCAAAAAATGGCCTTTTCTCTTTGTGAAAGGAAATTTTCCTCGTATCACTCCCAAGTCCCCCTTCAGAAGTCTGTTAGGTATGACTGGGGCTCAAAGAGGAAAGCACAAACTCGCTGGTAGACTCACATCCATTAGGGTGACTACTATCAAAACGCAAGCAAAACAGAAAATAAGGGGTTTGGTGAGGCTGTGGAGAAATTGGAACCCTTGTGCACTATTAGTGAGATTGTAAAACGGTGCAAGTGCTGTGGAAAACAGTATGGCGGCTCCTCAAAAACTTAAAAATAAAATTACCATACAATCCAGCAATTCCACTTCTGGGTATGTATCCAAAAGAATCAAAAGCAGACTCTTGAAGAGATACTGGAGCACCCATGTTCATAGCAGCATGAGTCATAATAGCAACACAAGGATCCATTGATAGATGAACAGATAAACCTAATGTGGCCTATACTTACAATGGAATATTATTCAGCCTTAAAAAAGGAAGGAAATTCTGACACCTGCTACAACACAGATAAACCTTGAGGAGGACATTAAATTAAATAAGCCAGTCACAAAGGACAAATACTGCATGATTCCACTTACATGAGGTACCTTGAGTAGTTAAATTCAGAAAAACAAAGTAGAATGATGGTTTTCATGGGCTGTGAGGAGAGGGAAATGAAGAGTGGTTGTTTAATGGGAACAGTTTCATTTCTGCAAGATGAAAAGAGTTCTGGAGATGGATGGCGGTGACGGTTGCACAACGATGTGACTGTTAGTTAATGCCACTGAACCGATCACTTAAAAATGGTTACAGTGATAAATTTTATGTTATATGTATTATATCACAATTAAAATTAAAACCACACACACGTATAGAACCCAGGCATCACCTCTGTCCCTCACAAGTGACTTAATCCCTTGGCCATGTTAAAGCTGGTAATACTATGCAATGCTGTCCAATGGAACCTTTGGTGATGACAGAAATGTTCTTTATTTGCACCGTCCGATATGTTAGGCGCTAAGCCCATGTTGGGTTTGAGCACTTGAAGTGTGATGAGTGCGACAGATGCACTGAATTTTATTTTTATTAGGTTTAAATTTAATTAATTTAATTTAATGAATCTTTATTCAGTTTAATTTAGCCACATGCGGCTAGTGGCTGCCATGCTGGACAAGGCAGGAAGACTGTATGTCTACATTACTGTCTATTCCAAAATATTTTCCCTTCCTCAGCATAGAGCTACAGCAGTCATACAAAAAACCTAAGAAGGTAAGGTGCTGGCTTGTGTGTGGACCCCAGTTCTGTTTGAACCCCCGGTATCAATTTGCTTCAAAGCATTTTGCCAAAAGTGTGACTCTCATTTTTAGCAATTTGGTATGGCATTCACTGGCATCGGTTTTTGGACCCAAGGGCAGAGTGGGCCTTAATTCATGCGCCAGCCTTTTCTAGTAAAATGCCCTTTGGAAACCCACATTCCTTTACTGCCACACACAGTCTTCTTCACTTTTCCTTGTAAATCCATGGAGTGATGTTATGAATTAAAACCGAGGTCCAAGTCCTTATACAGAAATCATGCAAGCACATTGCTTTTTGCTCTGGGTACCCTGGCATCGACGCCTATTTTACTTTTTAAGGCTTTGCTGGAAAACACAGACAGGTAAGATAGGTAACAAATTCTTACATTGAAATAGTATCACACAATAAAATGGATGAACCTCGAATGCCTTCATCCTCTATAATGAGAGTAGCTAAGTATGCCATCACGTATTGTATAATGTTGCTTGAGAAATAATTAATGTTGCCAGCAGCTGTAAGGGGCTTATATTTAAACAGGCTGCAAATAGAAGGCTTAACAAGTCAATCAGTGGGCAGCATTGCTTCGTGACAACCCAGTGTTTAATGACACTGTAGATGCCACATTTATCTTCCTGGAAAGAATGAAAGCTGTTTATTAAAGCATAAAATATGAGCATGTGGAATGAGGATGGCTGAGTGGCAGGAAGGAGATAAAGAAGAGTTTATATTCTTTTTACACAAAATGGACACGAGCTGTCTAATAAAAAAAACACCCAGTTTAGCTCTGGCAGATTTGCTCACCAAGAACACTCTTTTTCTTTTTCTTTCAGCAATGGGTCGAAGGCCTGAGATCCATCATACACAACTTCAGGGCCAACAATGTCAGTCCCATGACATGCCTCAAGAAACAGTGAGTTTTATTTGCATGATCCTTTGTTTTTGGCTGTTATCAAGCAAACAGTCAGATTAGGAGATGAAGGCTATGTATATGGACCAGGCAGCATCTTCCTTGCCTTCGCCTCTATGCTCCTGACCTTGGAGAAGATGTTGACCAATACGCACCTGTACTCTTCATGCCACCTGGCAGGGCATGTGTGATAAGCCCACAGCCTGAAACCTATTTGAAAGGAATGGTTGACAGCAGAAAGATGCTGGGTTGTGGGCCCTGTCTTTTGTGTCCCGAGACTGAGTCTGCTGATAAATAGCTCTGCATGCCTGGGGCCATATTTGGGTGCTGATGTAGCTGGAGTCTCTGTTGCATGACACTGAGAAATGGGGAGTGTGGCCAAGACAAGCACTTTTGCAAAAGCACCAATGGCTCCAGTGGAAAAGGAGCCCTGGCCCCAGGGACTGTTTAGCACCCAATCAGGGATCCAAAGGTACTTTTGAAATTCAGAAAGCAGAACTTCCTTACTCCAGCTCTGTATTCAAAATTCAGAGAGGACCTGCTTGACATGGTAGGTTTTAACCCTACGAAGCTATTCTTTCCAGGTGACATGAAAGTTACTCAAGTAGAAATTCTAGCCAAAGCCCAAATCAGCCTGTTTGAAAAGCAGTGATCCATGGAGGAGTGGGGCCACCTGTTATCACAGGGCCCTTGGCAGGCAGTCATGAGGTGCAGGAGAGAACCACACTGAGAATCTGCAGGGATAAGCCGGCATCTCTTAGCCAGGCCCAGGTCCAGCACCAAGGGTGGGATTCCTTGGACTTCGGGCGATGGGAGGAGAGATCAGTCCTTCGGGCATTTTGCTTTTTACTTCCGGTCCCTTTGGCAGGTGCTTTAACAGCATGGACTCTGTGCTGTAACTCCCAGGTTGGCCACTTTGTTGCTGGGTCCGTCTTGGCAAAGTCTTAACCTTGTGCCTCTCCGTCCTCATCTGTGAATGGAGGTGATAAGATTCCACGCAGAGGAAATAAGGTCATGGGCAACACCTAACCCGGTGCCTGGTTCCCCATCCCTCCTCGTTCAGTATTAGTTATTTTGATTTTGACATCATCCCTCCAGTGTTTTTCCCATTGTCTTATCAGAGGGGAGTTATTTAGTCTTGTACATTCCTATTTTTTGTTCAGCTGCTTCTTGTCCTCTGCAGTTGCTGTGTCATGTTTTCTTAAAAATAAAGAGCAGGGCTTCCCTGGTGACACAGTGGTTGAGAGTCCACCTGCCGATGCAGGGAGCACGGGTTCGTGCCCCGGTCTGGGAAGATCCCACATGCCACGGAGCGGCTGGGCCCGTGAGCCATGGCCGCTGAGCCTGCGCGTCCGGAGCCTGTGCTCCGCAACGGGAGAGGCCACAACAGTGAGAGGCCCGCGTACCGAAAAAAAATAAAATAATAATAATAATAATAATAAATAAAGAGCCACCCAACAGATACTTTGAAGTTATAGAACCTCAGACTTTTGGCATGCCCACTTATGCCTGAGTGACCCAAGTCCTTGTATCTGGACACCAGATCTTATCTGCCTTCATTGGTGTCCTGCCCAGATCCCTTTCTGTTGCTGGTGTTCACCCATCCGCCAGCTGCTGGGAGGGTTAGGTCACTAAGGGCTCACACCTGCCTGCTTCTCCAGATAATTGCCCTCTGCCTACCAGGAGTCACCGAGCCTGAGAGATCAGAGTCCTCCATTGGCGTCCCTGCGGGATTGGTTCCAAGAACCCTGCTGACACCAGAATCCACCGATGCGAGTGCCTAAGAGTTGACCCTTCGTGTCCACGGATACAGAACCCATGGATAAGGAGGGCTGACCCTAGACTCCTCCCTTCTTCTGGAAGGAAGCCCACGGCCAATGACAGGCTGAGACAGTATACAAGAGGCCAGCCTCCTTGCCACCAAGCCTGGTGCAAATCACACTCCAGAGCTCCCTGTGGCGTCAGGACAAAGCTCCAGCTGAGAGCACAGCTTTGTATAACTTCCTCCCTGCCTGTCTGCTTCCCTCACTCCTATGGTCCTGAAACCATCCCCTTAAAAGTAGTCCCGTGTGCTTCTAGGAAGCGTGACTTAAGACAGAAACTTTACCAAATCATCATGTTCTGCAGATTGTTAGAATGTTATTAACTGGAAACAGTGAGACTGGGAGTCAGTGGCTAAGAATAGTCCAAGCACCAAAGGACAAATATATGTTCTGGGTCTCCATGTGTCATGAACACCTGGGGAAAGCAAGGCATTTTTCACCATCAGTTTGAGTTGATGAACTTCTCTGACTGTTACAAATTAAGGGTCCAGATCCCTTTATGGAGCTGGTGTCCACCCATCCACCAGTTGCTGTGAGGATTAGGTCACTAAAGGCTCACACCTGCCTGCTTCTCCATCTTTACTTCACTACACTTAGAGCAGGAGCTGGGGCTGGGGTGGAGGGGGTCCCCACTGTCCACAAGACTAGGCTGGCTGGTGTTACCATGCACTTGCATTTCTTACCCCCTTAGTAGATTATTAAAGAACAACAATCAAGGATGAAACCAATCACCAAATAAGTGCCTACAATTTGCTTTGCTCATGCAAATTCCCAATTTTCTCATTCATCTAGGATTGCCAGATAAAATATGGGACTCTCAGTGAAATTTGAATTTTAGATAAGTAACAAATAATGTTTTAGTATAAGTATGTCCTATGCAATATTTGGAACATACTTGTAGTAAAAATTTATTTGTTGTTTATCTGAAATTCAGATCTAACAGAGTCCTATATTTTTGTTTGCTAAATCTGACAACAGTAAATTCATCTCACAGTGTGTAATTGTCTCTGGTTTTCCGAATAAATGCTCTGTGTTTGAATGAACTTTCTTTTAAAGTTCTTAACCAGATTGAAGCTATTTCTCCCGAGAAACATTAAAACAGTTGTTACTGTTGTTTTCCAGCTGGATGAAATTGGCATTTATGACCAACACAAATGGGAAAATTCCAGTTAGGAGGTAAGTCAGTTATTCTTGTCTGCTCTGCACAGCCTGGGTCAGCCCTTGTGATACCAGCCCACAGAGAGAGCCCCCCACACGGACTTGTTAATTTCTTTAACTAAAGATATTTCTGGAAGCTTAGTTTGAATCACATCATCAAGTGCTATCTTCAGTTTGTAAAAATCACTTATGGACGTAAAGTTGCATTTTTCCTCGGAACGGGTAGGGTTAACTCTGATAAATTAAAGAACATCTGAAAATGTAGCAGTATTTTTTAATCTTCAGCTAAGTGGGTTTTCAGGATTCAGGTATCTTTCACCTACTTGCCCTGAACAACCTTTAACTAAAATTAAAGAAGTTTATATTGTGCACCTACAGAGGAAGTGTATGGACGTGTCTTAGGAAGTGTGATGCCTCTAGACAGTGCATCTCATTCTGGGCTTTGCTGGTCCTGTCGCTTCCCTCCTTACCCTTCCCAAGGTAACAGAGACAAGGGAGAAAATGGAAGGAAAGCCTGGGTAGAGTCAAGAATGAAGAGAAGATGAACCAGAAACGGCCTTCACACCTGTGCTTCAGTACTTAAGCTGATGTGTTTCACCCTCTGAGGATTTCTCACTCTCCCCTTTTTTCTGCCTCTCCACTCCTTCTGGCGTTAGGGTCATGGTCTGTGGGTCCAGTTGGAAGCTCTTGTGACAATAGTGTTGGGAATTCTTTACTCAGCTCCCCAAGTATTTTTTTTTGTTGGTGTTTGTGTAAGCATTTCATGAAAATTCCAGAAGCTGAACTGGGCCCCAGAGCATCTGCTGCCCACATGAAGCCAGGGGTATATTGGGATTCAGGAACCTGAATTAAACATGAGTTCCCCAGATACCGACCCACTCTTATAGAATTCTCCCGACTTGCATTCAAGTTGACCTCTTCCTGGACACTTTAGTAAAGAAGCCAACGACAAATAACAGACAAAACCCAGAACTACTGGGTGGAGTCATGTCTTAGAACCGCTCTATCTTTCAGAGATGAGGTGGACAGGTCACCAGCTGCACAGCATTTGAGGGAATGCACTGGAGCCGAGACCCACAGATTACACTCAGCCATTTCTGCCTCTCCTTTCCCTCTGTCTCTGCCTAGACTTGAAGCTTCAATTCTGCATCCCTCTGAGAGTATCTCCATACTCCCTGAATGTCATTCTTTTCACATTTGTCAGAACTATCCTAGAGGTCATCATCTTCCTTAACTCCATGTATTGTAACATTCATGGACTGAGGTATCCATGTGACACAACTGATGTATCAATGGGCAAATGAAAAGCATACACATCATAAAGAAGACCATGGCAGTATTCTTTTTATTTAACCTTTTATTGAGGGCTTCCAGGGTTATCGACCTCATGCATCTGTTGTGGTCTTTACAAATCTACATGTAGGATTCTCTGCTTTTTATTTAATAACTTATTAGCAAGTCAATTTTGCATTTACTTTAGAAGTTTAAAAAAAGCCCCACTAGCACCCTTGACTGATGGTTGTTGGCAAAGGCACTTTACACTGATCCTTATTTTATTTAAAACCCTTTGCTCTGTTGAGAATAGCAGGACAATTATTTTAATGTATCTCAGCATCCTACAGCTATTACCAAATATATAGTGCATTTTAATTTAAAAATCAGTATTGAAGTAATAAGTCCAAACTTAGCACAGATAGCAGTGTGAAGACCAAAAATGTAGGTTGGATCAGTTTTTACATAAATTGCTCTCCTGATTTTTCTCCCAAGATAAGTTTCAGGAAATGGACAAAATAGAAACACATAGATTGTAATCAAAGCACTCCTAATGAGCAGTTCTGGTGTCATCTGTACACATCCTATGAATAAAACCATTGTTACACAAGCTTGGAAGCCTTTGCTGATTCCAAAGATCTTTGTGCAGCATGTTCACATACAAAATTATTACCCCGTTTTTTGTAGAAATAGCCTAGATATTTTGTCTTCTTCTTTAGCTTTCTCTGACATGAACTTTTTGGTGCCTGACAGCATTAACAGGTGTTTGACACAAGACATCTGTGATCCGGGGGCAGTTTGTCAGAGTTGATGGAAAATTGATACCAAGCCAGCAAAAAGCGGATAATTCTTTATGTGGATGGACTGCCAAGGGCGAGATGGAAATTGTTCTGAATGTTTTAATGGATATGAAGAGTAAACACTTTAAAATGTCATTTCATCACTATCATTCTGGAGTTTTTAAAATGGAAACTATTAGTGTATTGTGTGTGTAATATTAGAGGGGATCTGGCTTCAGGGTCATTAGATCAGCTTGAGAGTGGCCCCTCCTTGTGAGCTGTAACCAAAATTTAATGTCCAGGAAGCTGCAGGAAGGATAAGGGAGGAAAGTCTTTACCTCCCTCTTCTCTTTTCTTTCCTTGTACATCATGTTATGCAGTCTGCCTTTCTCCCAAACTTACAAACTCACACTTAGTTTGCCTATCCACTCAGACCAAAGCTTTGAAGGTCACTCTTTTGATCACTTTTTTCTTTTTCTTTTTCTTTTTTTTTTTTTTGCCATTTCCCATTCCTTGTAACACGGAGTTGGAACCAACAGCTATGAGTAGAAGGAGTCCCAAGGGAGAAGATGTATTAAGAGGGCTAAGACCTCAGGGGTGGTCATAGCAGCCCAACTCCCTCATAATCCATCCACATCCTGAAGGCCCAGCCTGCCTACGATGAGGGTCTGGTTCTGCAGGGGGCTTCATTTCATGAACACTCCTTGACTGTTTCAGAAAATGGTATTAAAACCATTGGATAGATTGTAGACCCTTTGAGGGCAGAGTGAGACTCCCTGAGTTTCTAGGGTCATTGCTGTCTTGGTTGCCTGTAAGGTCTGCTGGAACAGGGAATTTAATCAGATGGACTGGGTACCGCTTAAGGGTATTTGCTTTTCTAGCATTTCCTTTCAGGTAGGTAGTGTGTTTTGCTTCAAGAGAAACTCTGAGCACCTGTAGCTACGAAGCACTAAGCTGTACTCTTTGGGGCTGTGTATAAAGGGTTGAATAAATTGCAATCCCTTATACACACTCTACATGCCCATGAAACGCCTTCGATGGTGTCTGAAATGCCCCCAGCCTGTGATAAGTGTGTTTATTTCTCTCAGGACCCTGGTTAAATGCTGGGCCTCCAGTGCAACTGGAAACTCAGAGAATTCACCTTTGCACCACAACCCACTCGCCCCTAAGCCGAATCCATTTTGAGGCCCAAGAATGACTCTGAAAGCTGCCTGGAGAGAAGGCAATAAAGGAGCCCCATCCCCCCTCCTCCCCACCTCCAGGGAAATGGTCTCTTCCACTTCCTTGCTCCTATTTTCTCTTAGAATGAGGGGAGCAAATCTGTGTTGAGGTTGCCCAGCCCGAGCCCCCTCGTGAAAAGATGGGCCTGAGAACGAGCTCTTCTGACCATCATACCGCCTCTTGCCTTTATTTGTTTATTTATTTTGGCCCCTCGGCAGGTGGGATCTTAGTGCCCTGACCAGGGATCAAAGCCATGCCCCCTGCAGTGGAAGCATGGAGTCCTAACGATTGGACTGCCAGGGAAGTCCCACCTCTTGCCTTTATTATCTTCTGTCATGTCTCTGGGCTCTGATTTTGCCCTCACTGATATATTCCCATGTGGATTTCCCTCCTTCCTGCCCCTGGGCACCCTATTTTCTCCTTCTCTCAGTTCCTCTATCTCCCACAAATGCTTGGACAGACCACTCCCAAAAGATGTCCTTGTTCTGCTTCCTATTTCTTGGCATTTCTCCAAGCCCCAGCCAAGATTCTACTCCTATGAACTCTCCCTTTCCTCCCCACTCCACCCCCTCCCCAACACCAGGTTGTTTCACCAGAAAGGCTCAGGCCCTACACCTGCTACATTCATGACCACGTTCATCAGTTTTCATCTCCTTTATGAGGCCTGTTGAAACCTAACAGAAGCTCGAGTTAGCTGAGATTCCCCTGAGATTGCTAGGCAGAGAGTTTCCTCCTGGTTACAGGTGCCAGACATCCCAAATCCTGCTGGAACCTGCAGCTCTCACATTAACACATACATACTCTATTTCAAAAAAAGACACACTGAATAGCCACTTTCCCCTATTATAAAGAGCAGATAAAGTGCTTCTCAACTCAGTCCAATGTATGAAAATTCCATGAACTCTAGAGAAGTGGGAAAATGTGGGCATAGCACCCTTGACCCTAGAAACTGGTTTACTTAATGTCATACGTATATGCTGTACCATGTCTGCAGATTTGTTAAAGAGAATTCATAGGCCTCCCTATATTTGAATACAACTGTCTCAAACATTCTTAAAACTGTACTTCTTGAAGTATTCTTAGACCACGTATGAAACAATAAAGCTTTGAATAAACACATAGCAATTCGCTTACCTACAGCTAGTTCTTCCCAATCTCTTCTGGGAAGTTGTACTCTGCAGTTGAAGTGGTGCTTTCTCCCACTCATCAAGATTAAACGGCGGTCACTGCTTACATTGGGAACTTGCCTTCCACTTAACGCGAACGGTGGAGTGCACGACAAGGTTGGGCATGGGAGGTGCTGTTACAGATCCTCCTGTACTCACAGGGAAGGCGGTCCAAAGCCAAGCTTCACAGATGAAAGTAAGCTCTGTCTTCCAGTGGAGGCTGGACTTCTGATTTAGACTTTAAGTTATTATGGTGATAAATCACCTGTGCCTCCATTCGGGGAGTGAATGAAGGCTCTTCGGGTGGCCAAGACATGGCTCAGAGTCAAGTATGGATTCCAGGGTCCAAGTCCTCTCCTCAATAGTGTTTGTTCTGAGTGTCACCAATTCATTTATCAGGAGTCTCTCTCTACTTTTATCATCATCAGGAAATATGCTCCTTAAGGTTTTATCCATCTTACTAGCCTTGATGAACACAGTACTGATTCAAAGGCACCACCATTATTCAAAAATACTGTGTCTCAGGGGAATGCCAAGATTCTGCTGAAACATTGAATAATTGTTCCCCTGCCTCCCCTCTCCCTGACACCTGTCACTTTCATAATAAAGTCCCCAATCCTTGAGGCAGCTGACATGTCAGAGTAGCTAAAGGGTGCTTAGCTCAAAATATATATATATATATATATATATATATATATATATATATGTCTGATAATGCATGTCAGCTGTAGTATGAAACCAGGTAATGGCGATCACAGGCACATGCTGTGTGCTAAGGGACCTCCTTCCTTTCCCCAAGTCAAGATATTGTCACCATGAGGTTCTATTCTAGACATGCTGTTCCATCTGCCACATTCCTTTTTCCTAAGAAAGCAGTTTGATAGGATCGGAATTTATTATTGTGATTGTCCAATGGTCTGTATCCCTGGTGCATCTTACATTCACAAGTAGAGAGAGACCACCTGTCTTAGAATCAAGTCACCACACTGGCACAGCCAGCTCTGGTAACCAGAGAGACATTGCAGGAGCTAGTTTGGGAAGTGAAAAATACCTAAAAATGAAAAGTAATTTTATTTTCCTTTTGCTTCTCCCCTATCCCACCATCCCTAGTTTTAATGGGATCTTTGCATCAGAGAAAACAGAATTAATAGTAACCTTATTTCTTTTTCTTTTCTGCCCTAGTATTACCAGAACCTTTGCATCGGGGAAGACAGAAAAGGTGATCTTTCAAGCACTCAAGGAGCTAGGTCTTCCCAGTGGAAAGGTATTCATTAATCTAATAATGTTTCTAAAACCACTTTGTGTATTTATGTTCTCATGTAATAAACAAGACTGTATTAAACTGATTCAGTTAGATTCAGAATTAGATTCAGTCACACATAGTACAGTCAATTTTTCCTTTATTCTCTTTCCTTCTACCCTTCCTTCCTTTTGTTTTCTGGGCATTTTAACCTAAACGTTTTAGTATTCAAATAGTGTACTTCCAAATGTTGTTGTCAACTTTATTAAGAAAAGGAAATGACAGCCAGGCTGCTCTTTCACACAGCTTATGGAAAACTTATTTTACAGAAATCCATCAACATTGCCTGGACCATGTATAATGTCAGCATGAAAAATGGCTCATAAATTCAGTTCTTCAGGATGGCTGTGCGATATTTTATGAAGCACCTCTCCCCAGACATACCATTTGTGTTTGTGGCCCTTTGGATTTAAAATAATTGCAATTAACGTGTTAACTGCAAGAAAGATTTAAGCCTGTTGCTGCCTTAACAAATCCGATTTGAAATATGAAGTTCTGTATGAAGAGTAAACTCTTATAGCATCCCCTTCATGTGGTCTTGTGAAAATTCACAAAATAAGCATAAGAAAACATTGGGCTTGATGTCATCATCCTTTAGGCAGGCACTTGCTTTTCTCCTTCAAGGAGAGAAGGAAAAAATGTTTCTTTGTATTTGTTCTATGGAGTGTCTCCCAGAGCAAGCCCAGCTGTGGCCAGTGTTTGAACATGCAAACCATGGATGAATGGTAACTAGAAATGCTCATTTTCATGTGCCACGTTCTAGAGGCCTGGCCAATGGCTGGACCTCCTGGCCTCTATCAGCAAGAATCAGAGATGAAGGCCCTGGAATTCCAAGTGTCATCTCTTTGCTTCATGAACCTGTAGATTCTGTAGATCCTCCAAGGAGAGAAAAATGTGCCCTGATTTATGACACGCTTCTATTCTTTCCAGAATGATGAAATTGAACCTGCAGCATTTACTTATGAAAAGTTCTATGAACTGACACAAAAGATTTGTCCTCGGACAGATATAGAGGATCTTTTTAAAAAAATGTAAGTTCCATTTATGAGAAAGTGTCACATCAATGTTATCTTTGTATTTTTAGATTTCAAAAACATTTTTGTCCTAATATTTTCAAATAGTATGTTGATAGTATCTAGGAATATCTAGTCAGGGTTACATTTTCACCCCTTAGTTTATTTGGTGTAAAAGTTTGCTCTGATTTTTTGAGAAACTTTTACGTAAGTTATTTGTAGCACCTGGAACTTCCCCCTCCCCTCCCTGCATTGGCTTTACTAACTACCTACAATGTTAACTTGCTCCTTTAGGTATTAACCCGTTATGTGAACTAACAAGATTCGATTTGGAATGTTATTATGTTGTTGAAAAGTCCATTCATTCCAATTATTTCAAATGGATGACTTACATGTTGTTTTTATAATAATGCCTGTGGATAATGCAAAAGAGGGATTGCAGACATTTTCTGTAAGCTAGTGGGAATGATTTCTTTCCTTTGTTGTTGTTGTTGGGTTATTTTTTTCCCCCCTTACAAACAGTCTCTGGCCATTTTAAGAGTTCACCACTACTTCAGGGTTAGAAAATAAGTGTAGAATTATCATCAACAAATGTCAACATGTAAATCGTACCTCCTGTAGCATCATATACCAAAACTTACTTTTTCTAATAAATTTCTTTTCAGCAATGGAGACAAAACTGATTATTTAACGGTAGACCAATTAGTGAGCTTTCTAAATGAAGTAAGCTTTTTCATACATTAACTCCATCAGTCTGTGTGCAGTGGCTTGCCCTCCTCCAGCATCCTCATTGCATGCCTGCATCCTACACCTTCATTCGCTTTGCTTCTGACCTGCTGATCTTTCCATGATGGCTTTACCAGGTGCAAAAATCAACTGCTGCCTTCGTGTGTCCATGCACTTCCTCATTGGCTTTGCACACTGCTTTTTTGCTGGTTTCTTGCTGTGACGTGTAGCTCCGGTTCTGTGTGTGCGTGTGAATTTGATAATATATTCATTTAATTAAATGTGTCTATGTTTTTGCAAGGTGATATTTAAGGTACTTATTTTTTTCTATTTACTTATAAGAAATAGAAAGAGAATGGATTGAGTTTACCACACTGTAGTTGGATTCTCCATTGCTAACTTTTCCTCATACCTTTGCATGGACTAGAAAAGCTTTATTTTTGTCTTTTAATGGATTGCATGTAAGAAAAATATGTAGGTTCGAATAGAATATTTGGACAACAAGCACAACATGGAGTTCCTGGGTGAAAATATAGTGCATATTAGGCCAATGAGATGGCAGGTTAAATTTTTCCTTTTTATTTTTATAACAAGCTCAGAGCTAATTTTAGAACATGATTCACTTAACAACCAAAACTGATTGACAAAATTTGCTTAAGCCCAAGAGAAAGATATTTCAGAACACGTAAAGGTTGCAGTTTTTATTACAACTAAAATTAACTTCTTTTTTCCTCTGCACGTTCAAAAAAGTGTTTTCTCTTCAGTGAAACCCATTGAAGCTCTTGTTAATCCAAAAAGGGAAACTCACTTTTTGTCTAACAAACACATTAATACTAAGAAGACTTTAAGTGAGGAATGGACAGTATATTTTTGTTTCAAAACGATTGATGTTAGCCATTATACCTTATAAAAAGAAAATGTTAGGAAAGACAGTATCATGCCAGATATGAGGTATTGCCTCAAGAAAAAACCACAGGTAGGCTGTGATTTGCCAGTTTGCAGACACAGATCACATCTTTGCCAAAGGGCTTCTCTTTTCTTTCCCTGTCAGGGCTCAGTAGCTCCCAATCTGTAGGGTTGCACTTGAGAAGCTATGGTAAACAGAGCCTAGAAGCACCGATGCAGGAGATAAAAGTTCCCCCATATAGCAGTGCAGATGCCTCCACTTTTAAATAATCCTTTCAGTACATTGCAATATTTATTTTACTTGAAAACATTTCAAGTTTTTCACTCCACTAGTTTTTGGTCATGCGAATACTACGTTCATAATCTTTACCCAGATATTATCCACATTCTTACGCCACCGTTGCTTAGAAGTTAAGTTGCCTTGCTTTGCCTCCTTAACCCTTTCCCCATCTTCTGCTTCTTTTAAAAAATGTATTGTGTTATCTCCCTCAGCTTCTTCATGTACTTTGGGTCATTGGTCACCTTACGTTTTGGTGAGACGAGCAAAAATCTTGCTTTCTACTAAAGAGGGAAGACGCTTTAGTGGAGAGAAGATGTACCACCTCATCAGTTCGCCTAGAAAAAGGCCTCTTGGGTGCTCTGGGATGAAGCTGGTACCCAGCCATCTATTAAACATGACAGAGACTTAATATGCATTCTGCTGTTCAAATGAGGAAACAGTTCTGAAGTCCTCAGAATAGGTGCTGCATTCATGGGTGCTTATCTCACGCCTTTCCTTTTATGGGTGGTTTCTGTAGACCTACCCGATAACTACTCTTGTTCTTATGAGTCTTGGACAAAAAATTTAATTTTTAAAAGGTATGATCACCCACACTTTCTGGCTCTGACATCCAAATTCTTTCTCAAAATACTTACTCTTTGGTAAGCTTTTATCTATCACTATTACACTGGCCAATAGTGTTCATTTACTTATGTTTCCTTCTGTTTGGCTTCTCATTAACAGTAAGGTGGCACCTTTAATTTGGGGGGGTGGGACTCATGGAATCAGTGTGATTCTAGATTTCTTTAGGTCACAGAAACTACAAGACAGTCCAGGAAAGTATACAGCCTTTATTTTTAATCAAAGTGTCTGCCCTGAATCTCTTCCTTTTCTGTCCTAGTGAACTCAGCTGGAAGAACTAGACAGAAATCTGAATGTCTCCTTGAAGAAGGCTGTCAAACTTAGAGAACGTTCTGCCACCGCCTTGCACCCTCCCTTTTGAGTCCTACCATTGTCCCTCTCATTGCTCCAAAGTCGAAAGCACCCCTTGGGCAGAGCACCGTCAAAACCCATAATGAAAGGAGACAGAGTTCACTCAGGAAGGGAGCAGGCATTGGAACGTAAGGGTCTCTGACTTGAAAAGCTTAGACCTAAACATTTTCAAAATGCCTTAGCCACATAGTCTCAACAAGCTGGAATTCAACATTGTATTAGAAGACCTGGATCATACAATTAGACAAGAAAAACTAAATGAATCCCAGGAACACAAGAGGACAAGGCCCTATTCACTATTTGCAGATGTTGACTATGTAACCCGAATATCAAAAGCTATCAACTGAAAAACCCTTTGAACAGATAGAGAGTTCAACAAGGTAACCAAATAAGTGGTCAACAAAGAAAAATCAACACACACACATATACTAGCATTCATCAGTTAGAATAGGTAACAGGAAAAAAATGCCATTTATATTAGCAAAAGCCAGGCTACCACCCACCACCTTCCAGCTTGTAAATCCCTTTATTCCTTATATGCAGTTTTCTGTTCAGGGTACTAATGTGTATCTCCAGGAATTTGGAAGGTGAGGAGAGACTATCATTTACTGCCTTGGTCGCCGTGTAGGGGTTTGTACCACCTGCTCTCTACCCATGCCATCACCACTTACTAGCTTTTCACTAGTGGCTTTAGATCTGCTCCTCATTTGCTTCTCCGTATGTCCATGTTCATTGCTTCCCAGAGTGTGATCTGGGGACCAGCAGCATCGGCATCACCAGGGAGCTTGTTAGAAATGCAGAATCTCAGGTCCCACCCAGACCTGCTGAGCTGGAATCTGCATTTAACGTTATCTCCAGGTGATTTGTCTGCACATTAGAGTTTGTGAAGTGCTGGATTCCTCCTTGGAATGCTTAGTGTGAATGGAAAGAATGTGAGAGCAGCATAAACCTATTATTCTCCATAATGAATTTAGTCATGGAAATCCTCCACTCGGATCTAAAATTTTGCCACAGCTATGTCTCTTGGTCCCATCCAGTGGGTTGAGGGAAACTTTCTTTGCCTATATTATGGAAATAGCAAACTGGAGTCCAGGAGAGCTGGTGGGGGCCGTCAGTATGAGCTGGCACATGGTTGGATACTGCCACCAACTCAGTTCTCTATGTATCAGGGCTAATTAAAGCTTCTTGGCTTCAGTTAGTTTCACCTCTCTTTCCCTGTTCCTAATGAGGAGCTAAATTGATTTTAGTTTTGCCTTCATTCTCCATATGACTTCTTACAAAGACGACAGCAACTGAGGGCCAGCAGAATTGAGAGATGCATGAAGAGCTGGAGAAAGAGATCAAATTAAGAAAGAGAGGCAGAGATTTTAGATAATCACAACAATCAAGAATTAGCTTTATTTTCTTGTTGCTGGTAATCTTTCCGCCTGCCTCACATATGTCATAGGATCACATTAGAGCTAAACCTGATTTGTTATTTTATTTTGCAGTTGAAAGAATGTAATAAAGGGCTCAAGATTGCTTTCCATTTACAATATCTTTATTCTTTTTTTTAGGATTTTTTTTTTTTATTTTATATATTTATTTATTTATTTATTATTTTTGGCTGTGTTGGGTCTTCATTTCTGTGCGAGGGCTTTCTCTAGTTGCGGCAAGCGGGGGCGACTCTTCATCGCGGTGCGCGGGCCTCTCACTATCGTGGCCTCTCCTGTTGTGGAGCACAGGCTCCAGACACGCAGGCTCAGTATTTGTGGCTCACGGGCCTAGTTGCTCCGCAGCATGTGGGATCTTCCCAGACCAGGGCTCGAACCCGTGTCCCCTGCATTAGCAGGCAGATTCTCAACCACTGCGCCACCAGGGAAGCCCTCCATTTACAATATCTTTATTCTGTAATGCATGAGCAAAGAGAGAGATGGAAGTATTTGGTGCTATAAACCTTACCAATTATTCCCTTATCTTTTTATATCTCTTTTGAATATTATTTATGTCAACATCTCTCTCCCAGTGCTGCTTGGATTGAAGCCAGTTGAAGTCTTTTCTCAATAAAAGTAAGGACATAATAAAGGAGGTGTGTTCATTATCTTCTTGTTCACTTGGGCACAGTTCTGTGAACTATTTTCGGAAGCTGTTCAGTATCGTATTTTACAAAGCCCTGGACATCACGGGGTGGATGCCCTCGGTACATTGCTACCCCAAATTCCAACTGAAAACCCATGGTCTCTCCCTCAGAGCTGTGAAGCATTTGCCCCACTGTCCTTATGTCCATGTGGAAATCCTCTGCAACCTTATTACTCTGAGATTATGTGGAAATGATCTTTCTCCTCTTTGCTTTCTCATATAAAATTATATTTTTGTGACTCAATACAACTTTTACCATTTTTTCCTTGTCTTTGGGTTATCCAGATTACACTGTGCTTCCTTTTTGAAACGTGAACATTTTCAGGAAAGTAAAAGGTTAAGGTATCTGGTGGAGCAGATGTAAAGACAAGTGAAATTTCATTTTGTCTTCTCTTAATGCTTATTTGCTGCAAATGTAGAATAGGGGATTATGATACATCCATTTTATGTACTCAGTTTTCCTGGCTACTGCTTCTGATAGGGGGATGTTCTCTAGTGAATATCATGCCCTCTGATAAATTTTGATGGGGGTTAATTGGGAGGACACCTCAAACATTTAGCATTCTTCTATCCTTTGCAGAACTTAGGTACTTTTTTTTTACGGATATGCAAGTATATTGAAATGCAAACCTTTACACATTAGAGTAGTGCTTCTTAAATTTGAGCACATCAGAATCACCTGAGAAGCTTGTAAAAATACAGATTCATGGGCTCTACCCCAGAGAGTCAGGTTTGGTAAATTTGGAGTGGGGCCCAAGAATGTGCATTTCTAACAAGCTCCCAGGTGAGGGTGATGCCACTGCTGCCATCCACAGGCCACACTACAGGGGGCACCAGGTTAGAACCCACATACCTCTGTACATAAAAAGCACCTAAGAATACCTGGATTCCCTCTCTTCCTTTCCCAACTTTGCCTCTTTCTTCTTTAGCTGAGTCTCTTCTTTCTCTCACTTTTAAATTCATATGGATTTGCCCCATGATCTCCATGAGTCCAGAACACTTACCAAAAGCACACCTTTAAATTAAAAGACTTAATTATAATAAGGAAGAAAACCTTATTAGTATAGTGGCCAACCATGAACATAACTGCAGTGGGGTCTCAAAAGGCCCTTTTCCTGCCACATCCATCTTCTTCCATGGTATTATTTACAGAGACTGAAAAAGAAAGTGCCTAGAAAATGTACTGTTTGTTTGTTTGTTTTGAAAACAATGCTTTCTCACCAGAGAGCTCTGCTTGTCATTCCCTTGGGTAGGGGCTCTGGAGTTGCATGACAGCATCCATTCCCTAAACAAGATGTCTTGTAGCATGCCTTCACCTGCTTGGCATTCCGTGGTCCACTGCACCATCTCTCTGCATACCCCAGGACTTTTCTTTGTGGTCTCAAGGCCTGTTGCTCATATAACAGTTTCTGCTCTAGCACACGCATGGATGTGAGCTTTTGTGAGCCGTAATTTCTTAGATTCCAACAGAAGCATGCTTCATTGGGATAAATTGACAAAGAGATATTGATTCCTTAGGAGTTAACACTCTTAACTCGGTGGGAGGTGGGAGCATCAGAGCAGGCTAGGCCACAAGTGCTTTAGGAAATTACATCAAGTGTTCTGTTGGCCAAAGGCATTCATTCTATGTGCCCCACTCTTCAAATGATCATTTCAAAACAAATGGGGAAGGGAGATCCATATGAACTTTTAACAATTGTTTCTTCAATACTTTTCCAATAGTGCTTTTCAAAGTCTGTGCATATATTTGGGTAAAGAGTTGTTGCCGGTGTCCTACGTACTGACCAAGTTTTGCTCACATCTGCTTATATGCCATTATTCCATTGAAGTTTCCTTTATTTATTTATCTGATGGATGACCAGGGATGCAGTGTTTGGTCCTCTAATCTACCACAAACAATAAGGAAGTTTAATAGACCCACTACCTCTAGGTACAGAAAGATAGTCAGATAGACACACACACACGATTGTAGCTGAGTCAGTTAGTAAGCTGGACTTTTTTCATCACTGCTGTAAAGTTAGGATGACAGAACTGCAGAAATAGCTTTGCTCCTGGTGCCTCATATAACATAGCACCAGGAGCCTATAGGTGCTGATTTGAAAAGAATGACATCACCAACCTCCAAATTATTTACGTACTTTCGGCCCAGAGAATTTCCTCGGGGCAAACCAAGTTAGATTTCATAGTGAAATAGAATTGCTGGACTACTGATATTTAAACACAAATTTTCATATTGTTTAGAGCTTGTAAATATCCTTGTGCTGATTAATTTTCAACTATTACAATGGATTCATTTTGATAAATATTGATTCAAGAGAATGAAGTTTACAGTTCCCAAGAAATCTTTTATTCATGTAGAAAGACATAATGAAAATAAAATGATATTTGCCTGTCTAACTTTAGGGTTTTGGAGGGGTTTTTTGTTATTGTTGTTTTTGGTTTGGCATTTAAATGGGTATGTTATATATTTGGGGTTTTTTTGAATTTTTGCTTTTGTTTATCCTTTTTTTTTTTTTAAAGATTTTTGATCTCACTTTTTATAAGCACTTATGCCAAATGTCTTGCCTGTGGTATGCCAATGCCATACCGTTTTCTCTGTCCGTCAACTTTTGAAGAAAGAAAGTATCTTCTGTTTTCTCCGTCATCAGTTCAGTGAGGGGAACCAATAAAATACTACTACCAAATTTGGACGTTTCTGAAGTCTATTTTAGGAAGAAAGGCAGGAAAATAGTGAAATCTTCTCTTTGTAACTGTAAACATGATATTCTAGATATATCTTATGTTAGAAATTACATACTTTAGTGATGTGTACTGGCCCAAGGGTGAATGTCAGCCTAAATGGAGTTGTTTTCTCATCATAGCATCAACGAGATCCTCGATTGAATGAAATTTTATTCCCATTTTATGATACTAAAAGGGCAATGCAGATCATTGAGATGTATGAGCCTGATGAAGACGTGAAGAAAAAAGGTAAGAAAAGTGTAAACAGAGAGAATTTTTCTTTGTTTAAAAAAATCAAGGACATATGCAACTTTTAAAGTCCTTGAATTTTTAGTTAAAGGTATCTTTAAATGCTTTGGGGCTCTCTAGAGGCAAGGATTGATAACTGATTTTTTTTTTCCTTGTTCTAAGTATAAATTTTACCTTACACCAAAATTTGTTCGTGCTGCCTGAAGTGTAATGATAAATTTATTATTAAACTGTAGTGATATTTTCCCCATGTACTTTCTTATCTTTAGTATTGCATAGTGCTTAAAATGCAAAAATGCCAATTACAGTCTCTGTTCGCCATCTATGAAAACAATGGCATTTGCTATCAAAATTGACACCTTCTTCTCCCTTTAGTTTTGCAAGCTAACTAAATTTAATACGTGATTTAAAGAGTCTTTTTACACATCATTTGACCTCTGGTATGGAAGATAAATGCAATTGACATGAAATTAAATAGGAATCAATTTAGCAAATTGTTGGGGTTTTTGAGCATTTGCCTCTTTCAATGAAACTTTGGAAACAATGTGTTGTTCATTCCAACATTTAACAAAGGAAAGGTATGGAGAGGAAAGTTAAGATTGGTTCTATAGCCATGAGAAACACCTGCAAAGGATGGGAGCGATGATGCTGATAGAGTATCTCCAGGGAGTGCCAGGAGATACCTGATCTGGAGTCTCTGGCCTTATGTCTCAGTGGAGAGTGAAGGGAGATCTAGGTTAAGTTCTTTCTGTCCCATCTGCCCATGAGTATCATGGCCTCAGTTTTCTCCTCTTTAGAATAGAGGTTCTTTTTTTTTTGTACCTCAGTGAGTGTGGCTGAAAGATTTATACGTTCTCTGGACCCACATAGAACCCATTTATATGCATGCCTGGCCCACCATACCATGTGGCCTTACCCCTGATATTTTCCCAAGCCCAACAGAGTTTTCCCTTGGTTATAGTCATACATTTACACTTTTCTGCTAGGGTCTCAAATATCTATTTTCAGAAAGACTGCTTCATTACTTACCTCTTTATCAATATCCTGAGTATCATAATTAAGTCCACATGGCATGTGATTTAAGTGAAGGGAGGAGTGGCTTGGCAGAAAATCTAGTACTTTGCAGTGGTGGGAGGTGATGTGATTTTTGTTGCATCCCCTGTTGCTGTGTGACCTTGAGCAAGGAACTGTATTCCTAGGCCTCAGTTTCCCTGCTTGTAAGATGGTGGGGTTCATGCAGTCATTCAGCTAGTATTTCTGTCGCCTGCTTTCAATCCTTATAGGCACAGCCAAGCACTGTGCTAGGTGCTGGGGATTCAAAATGAAATAAGGCGGTTGTAATCTACTGAAGGAGAAAGACCTATGACTCAGTAGTGCCTTGGTGGTGTGATAAATGTTATGATAGAGGTGTGTCTTATTATGTATAAGTTCCTCCCAGGTCCTAAAAGTCTATGAAATTACCACTGACACATCTAAAAAGCATAGCTTCACCATTTCACATATGACAGAAATGTTAAAGTCTGTCATCATCAAGTATGGGTGAGAATGTGGCGCCAAAGGCATTCTTATCAACTATGCTGAGTGTGTAAATGGGTACAAACAACCACCTTGATGAATATTTTGTCAATAATAAAGTGGAAAATATGCCTCTCCTACAGCCCAGCCTCTTTACTTCCAAGTATGTACCCTAGAGAATGTCCCATGTCTTTCCCGAGTCTGGTGTCAGAGTGGCCCTGCTCAGTCCTCAGATCTCTGCTCCTTCTATCCTCACTCCTTGAATGAGCTCATCCAGGCCAATGGCTTTAAGTTTCTTCTATAAACACATGACTTTCAGATTAAACTCTCCACTCCTAATCTGTCTCTTAAACTACAGACCTGTATAGTAGACCTCTCCATTTGGATGCTGAGTGGACATTTCAAATATATATATATATATATATATATATATATATATATATACACACACACATAATATGTTTTGATTGTCCCCATCCACAGCCTAGAAAATGGTACCATGACTCACCCAGCTTTTCATGCCAAAACTCTTGGAATCATCCTTGACTTGTTTATTCTTTCACATCATCTCTGATCCATCAACAAAACCTGCAAGATCTATCCTGAAAATAAATCACTTCTCACCGTCTCCACACTTACTGGACTATCGGATCCTACATCATCTCTCCCTAGATGAGGCCAGCTGACTTCTAGCTAGTCTTCTTCTTTCCTCAATGCCCTACGATTTATGTACCACACAGCAGCCATAGTAAACCTTTTAAAATCAAATCTAATTATGTTCTTCCACTCTTCAAAATGCTCCAAAGACTTCCCAGCACACTCAGAATAAGATCCAAAGTACTTAGTGAAGACTAAAGTCCAACCGATGTAGATTTGGATTTGGATTCTTCATTTCTAGCTACTTTCCCCTCCATCACATGGTCTCTGCACTTGCTGACCTTTCTGTCTAGGATGGGGCAGCCCCAGGGGTGCATGGGGCTTGCTCCCCATGCATGAATGTGACCTCGTCAGAAGGACTTTTGCTGGCCACATAGCAAACACAGCATCCTGGTCATTCTTGATTGCTTTCCTACCCTGATTTCTGTTTCCTTCTAGCATTTTCATAACATTATATTTATTTTTTAATTTATTTGTTCTCTCACCCATAGTATATGAGTTTCATGAAGGTAGGGCTTGTCTGTTTCTTCTATCCTGCATCTATCACAGTGCCTAGGAAAGTATAAATGTATGTGTCCAAGGAGATAGACACACAAATTTTTACTGCAGTTTGTTTAGTTATAAATAGAAATGACCTAAATATCCATCAACAGAATGATGGATAATGAATTGTGGTATATTCACATATGGACTACTTTACACTCTACACACTGCATACTTCTACTATACATTACTCAGTGAAAAATAAATGAACAAGAGCTATTTATATTAACTAGATAAGTCACAAGAAAACAGAAAAAATGGCAAGCTGCAAATGCAAATAATGGGGTAACTTTTATATAAATTTTAAAATAGTCAAAACTACCTACTTTTTGGATAAATGCATATAAAGTTACAGAACCACTTTGGGAATGTTAAACACAAAAACTAGATTATTGGCTGTCTACCTAGGAATAAAAAGATGGAATTGAATGGAGTTGAGGTGGGGCACACAGGGTGCTTCATGGGCATCTGTAATTATGCATTTCTCTAAAAAATGTAAAGCAAATAAAGGAAAAGGTTAAGATCTAACAAGGCTGTGGTATAGCTGTTTATCCTGCTATTATCTGTACTTTTCTGTAAGCTTGAAACCAGCTTGTAACTTGGAAATGCTTAAGTAAATGCAGGAAGCTGAAGCTGTTGATGGTTGACAGGGTAGGAGAAGATGCAGAAATATTGACACCGGCCCTGTCCCATGTCACAAAGGTGTGACTGAGATGATGAGTGGTGGCTCTTGGGATCACGTTTCAATGACCACTGAATACTCATCTCACTGGTCCCATATCCTATTTTTTAGATGAAATAGGAAAATGGAATTATTTGAATCCAGAGAGGCCACTCATCCCTTCTCCAATCTGGCTCCTGGTGCTGCACTTTTGAACTTAGGGAACTGATTGTTTTGCCATCATGGATGTGAAAGCAGATGCCTCCTATTTGTGGAAAGCATTAGATTACTTATGCAACGCGGGTACTTCGTTCAAGTTCTGAAAGACGAAAGTTCTTGGGAAAGAGACTATGAAGAAGTTTTTACTCCTCCTGTTTAAGTTGCCTCAAATGTCATAAATAAAACATGAGATGTGTATCTTCAGAGCCATAAGTCTACCATGATATTCCTTTTCCCCCCAGGCCAAATATCAAGTGATGGGTTTTGCAGATACCTGATGTCAGATGAAAATGCCCCAGTCTTCCTAGATCGCCTAGAGCTTTACCAAGAAATGGACCACCCTCTGGCTCACTACTTCATCAGCTCTTCCCACAACACCTATCTCACTGGCAGACAGTTTGGTGGGAAGTCTTCAGTAGAAATGTACAGACAGGTCCTCCTGGCTGGTTGCAGGTCAGAAACTCAAGACACTGTTTCTTCTTTGGAATTGATGCTCTTCAATTGAATTTAGTTTTCTCTGAAAAATAGGAAGTAGCATTCAGAGTGAAAAGGACATTTGTCTTTCTCTTTAATGGATTACGATGGCCATTTAACCTTGAGAAAGGAAAATTGGTATCTGTTCCAGAAGGTCTAGAGTCCTCCTATGGGTCAAAAGATGTTTTTCTTTTACTGTAAATTTAAAATATTCCCCCAACATTACCAAAAAGATAGCATATTTTAAGAAGTTATGCTAAGTTTCCTGTTGGTCATAGACACTTGCAAATTTAGCTTTACTTAATGTTCAAAGTTCTAAAATTTCATTCTCAGATCATAAAGATTATTTTAAATGGCTTTAATTTTACAGAAATTGGAAAATATTTGAGGTTTAAAATATGGTAAAAATGCAGAAAGTGAAAAATGAGAAATGTAGTTACATTATGATTGGTTTCTTGATTGTCGATGACCAATACTTAATTTTTCAACTCACTATTTTCTGTGTGTATGGAAATATGTTAAAGGACTTTAACTACATCACTACATCTGTTTCTGAATGCTTAAATATGAGTCACTGAAACAATGAGAACATTTTAATTTATGGCCAGAGTAACATCATCCCACCTACAAAATTTTTACAGTATTCTTTAACATCCTATAAAACCCAGCCCATATCTAAATTTTCCCAGTTGTCCTCAAATTGTCCTTTATTACAGCTTTGTCACAACTAGGATTTCATCCAGAACCTCACTGCTTGTTACATCTCTTTTCTCTCTTAATCTCCGACAGTCCCTTTTTGATGACACCAATCTGGTGCAATTTTAACCTGCATCCTCCAAAAAATAATCGTGTTACTTCCTTCATTCCATTTTCTACTTCTATAGAAAACAAATTATTCTGATGTCTTTTCATTTGTACACACACTATTTTATTGTAAAGGTTTAATATTGGTAAATAACAATGTTCCTAGATGTGTTGAACTTGACTGTTGGGATGGAAAAGGTGAGGACCAAGAACCAATAATAACTCATGGAAAAGCAATGTGCACAGATATACTTTTTAAGGTAAGTGTTTCTTTTTTTTTATTGAAGTATAGTTGATTTACAATGTTGTATTCATTTCTGCTGTACAGCAAAGTGATCAGTTATACATATATATACATATTCTTTTTCATATTCTTTTGTATTATGGTTTATTATAGGATATTAAATATAGTTCCCTATGCCATACAGTAGGACCTTGTTGTTTATTTTATATATAGTAGTTTATATCTGCTAGTTCCAACCTCCTAATTTATCCCTTCCCACCCCCTTTCCCCTTTGGTAACTGTTAGGAACAGACTCACAGACATAGAAAAACTGTTTCATAAATAAGTTCATTTGTGTCATATTTTAGATTCCACATATAAGTGATATCATATGGTATTTGTCTTGCTCTTTCTGACCTACTTCATTCAGTATAATAATCTCTAGGTCCATCCATGTTGCTGCAAGTGGTGTGATTTCATTCTTTTTTATGGCTGAGTAGTATTCCATTGTGTATATATGTACCACATCTTCTTTATCCATTTCTCTGTCGATGGACATTTAGGTTGCTTCCACGTCTTGGTTATTGTTAATAGTGCTGCTATGAACATTGGGGTGTATGTATCTTTTTGAATTGGAATTTTTTCCAGATATATACCCAGGAGTGATATTGCTGGATAATATGGTAGCTCTATTTTTAGCTTTTTAAGGGAACTCCATACTGTTTTCCATAGTGACTGCACCAATTTACATTCCCAACCACAGTGTAGGAGGGTTCCAAGGTAAGTTTTAAAATTACCTCACCATTGCCTTTTCCAAACTATTGTGGAAACAGAGTGGAGAAAACAAATTATTCATCTTCTCAGGCATCTTACCTTTATATTCCGTTCTTCCAGTTTTTCAGAGAAAGTCAAGAAAAATGTTTTCTCTACTTAATATTTCCTTCATGCTACTTTTTCTGCTTTCAAATGGTGACGGTGCCATATAATGAGATTTCTCTGGCAGAACCTCCCTTGTTCCACTTACTTTAAAAACAGTCTTTCATTTTCTTATCTATTTTTGTGCTTACTTACTTTGCATTTTTTCTGAAGGGCTTTCAAAGTGGAATAAAAAGATAAATAGAATACAGGAAATAAAATAGATTATAAATAGTGCCTATATGGGTAAGAAAGTAAGATAGTGAGATTAGAGTTTTATGAATGCTTGTCAAGAAATCCTATAAACTTTCAAGCCATACCACAAATTGGGCTCCAGACTTCTTTGAATTCAGTGCAAGGAGAGAAACATGATAATTCACAGGATTTGTAAAATACATACAGAGTAGTTAGTCCAGGGAAGCACAGTTATTCCTCAGTACTGACACCAGATAGAAGTCGCCCCCCCATAAGATCCTCACAGAATGTAATCTACACTTTTATAAATTGGATTTCAGTCATGGCCTTTTGGTGATCTCTATGTACAATTTGAAGGTTGGTTTCTTAGCAAGTTCCTCAATATGCTCCAGTGATGTCCTGCCAAAAGACAAGTGAAAAAATGAAATTCTGTGGTTGGACAATATGTCAAGTACGTCAACCTCTGTCAGTTTCATATAACTCAGGAGAGTTATTTCAGCCTCTGGATCAATGGTTCTCAACTCTGCCAACATGTGGAAAATCACTGGGGTTGTTTTGTTTTGTTTTTTAATAGATTTATTTATTTTATTTACTTATTTTTGGCTGCATTGGGTCTTCGTTGCTACATGCAGGCTTTCTCTAGTTGCAGCGAGTGGGGGCTACTCTTTGTTGCGGTGCACAGGCTTCTCATTGCGGTGGCTTCTCTTGTTGCGGAGCACAAGCTCTAGGCACGTGGGCTTCAATAGTTGTGGCTCACAGGCTCTAGAGCACAGGCTCAGTAGTTGCGGTGCATGGGCGTAGCTGCTCTGTGGCATGTGGGATCTTCCCGGACCAGGGATTGAATCTGTGTCTCCTGCATTGGCAGGCAGGTTCTTAAGCACTCTGCCACCAGTGAAGTCCCACTGGGAGTGTTTTTAAAAACAGACAGCTAGACCCTAGACCCGTGACCCTCCATGCATATCACTTCTCTTAGCCAAGATGTTGGTGAGTTTTGAACATCAATCAATTCAAGATTACATTTCCTGAGAAGTACCAAGAGTATGTTCAAGTGGGAAGCCATGAGTTTGCATAGTCACCAAACTGACAGCAAGGGTTGACATCTTTTTTCATAGAATTAAGGAGCCTAATAGGGAAGCTGAAGCTCAAAAGGAAGTTTTTCCCTCTCAGCTTGGAGGTGAGCAAAGAAGAAACCATGGGCAGAGCCAAGATTCTCCTAAAGGAGTAATTCTAGGTCAACTCAAGTGGATAATCAAGGTCACTTGGGAAGTGACTCAAGGCATTTTTGCCTGAGAAGAAACTTCAAGCAAGAATAACTAAAGGACCACCTGAGCCATAAGAATGCTCAGTAAAATACTCCAAGATTGTCTAGCCTAGGCCATTATTCTTTCCAATGGACTTCCCTAGACAGCTATTGTCAAATATTTTCCCAACTAACAGAATGATGGGACTTGCCCCATGGTTAACTACCAGGGTGATACAAAACAAGGGATATTGCAAATGTCACATCAATTCACAGGAGTCTTCATTGAATTAATGAAATGTAGCCCAACTCTGGTGCCAAAAGGCAGAGGAAAGTCAATAAAAGCTTCTAACAGGCCTGAGGTTTTTACCAACACATTCCTCCTCGAGATGAGAGGGGAAGGAGAGGGGTCTGCTGTGAAAATCTCTGTGCAGAAATCTCACCTGCTCCTCAGTGAGAAAGGTGAGCTCTGAACCCATCTTGGCAGATTATCAAGCAAGGAACTGCACTGCCATTTAGGTGAAATGTCTTGTCAGTTACTAGCACCCTAATTTTGGAGAAGTAAAAGTAGCTTTGAAAAAAAGTGTCATTAACCATGAACTGTGCCTGGGTCTAACCACAGGGGACTCAGTCTGTAGCAGTAAATGGGATCTCCAGGTCTTAATTGCCAAAAATGACTTTCTGAAAAGCTCAAATTAATAGTCTCCAATCGGTTTCAGGTAACTTAATTTTTTTTCTCTCCTCTCTCATTAACACTCTTTATCTTTCAAGGATGTCATTCAAGCCATCAAGGAAACTGCATTTGTCACATCTGAATATCCTGTAATTCTCTCCTTTGAAAATCACTGCAGGTATAATGATTCATTCTACTCCAAGTCTCTAAGTGTTGTTTCCTAATCCCCATTCCCCACCCCTGCTCTACATCTTTTTGAATAACCGAATAGTTTCTTTTGTGAAGTGGTAAGTACACATAGTCTTATGGGGGAAAAAAAAAAGAGAAGAAACTCAAACCACTACCTCTCAACACTTCCAAAAAAGAAAAAAAAAAAATGTCATGTTAATGTGTTTTAGAAATGCTTCCTCTAAACAAAAGGTCAGAGAGCAGGACACCTTGCTTAATGTTCCATTGGGTTGGAAGACTTGGCAGTATGTTTGTAGTCAGACTTGATGAACTTGAAAGACACTTTTTACTCTGCTTACCAACTCTTAGTTTGGGGGAAGAATCGACTTCTTTTTAAACTACACCAGTTAACCCATTAGCATCAAGAGGACACTCAAACATTTTGCAGAGTGGGAGTTTTTAATCGCTAGGAATGGATGTTTCTTATTCTTATTCTGGACAGTTAATGGATGTTGGAATTTACAAATGTCGGTTCTTTCCCTCTAGCAAATATCAACAGTACAAGATGTCCAAATATTGCGAAGATCTATTTGGAGATCTCCTGTTGAAACAAGCCCTTGAATCACATCCAGTATGTATTTTTAGCAAACCATATTTCTAACATGAATGGATTTGTTTTGAAATTCATTTCTGAAGGGCCAAGTAGTTCTGGAGGACTAATGTTAAAGATCTTCATGTGTATTTCAATTCGTTGGTATGGGAAGCTTCCATTGTGCTTCAGAGGGGTGTGTAGAGAGAGGCACAAAGTAAACATCTGGCTCAGTTTTATTCAGAAGATCATGGGGTCTCTATGGCTTCTGAGACCTCTGTCCTAAAATTTCACAAAGTGCGCACTGGCCAGGAGTCTAGAGTTGGTGATCATTGTCAAGTTCAGTGACAGGTTAGAATCACCTGGGGGAACCGTGAAACATACCTCTGCCACAGCCCCACTCAGAGATTCTGAAATTGATTCGAGTTCAGCCAGATCCTAGTGTTTTTTAAGTGCTCTCCAGGTAAATCAAATGTGCAGCCAGGGTTCAGCACCCACGGGAGCCTGTTGCTATGGGAAGTTCCCTGGATCAAGTCACAGAAGCCGGAAGTTCAAGCTCCTAAGTCCAAAATAAACTCTTGGGCCATGTTATATGCACGATTTCGAGCTTCATTTTTACACCTACTAATTCCTTCATCAAACAAAGAATTTTTAACCTGTTCCCCATAGATAGGCTTTGTGGGGTCTGTGAACTCATTCTAACCGCATACAGTTTGCTGTTTTGTATACAGTCATTCCAGAGAGTTCATCAGATGTTTACCAGGATCCATAACCCCCAAGTGGTTAAGATCCACTCTCCCAAGATGTTGGGAGTAACAAGAAAGCTACTGGAGTGAAAGAAAGTATGAAACACTCTACAGTAGTGAAATATTTTGCCCCACTGTTGATGAGAAGCTGATAGGCCCAAACACGGTAGCCCGAAGCAGCAATAGAACATCACCATGACTAAAGAGGGAAGGTGCTCCGTGCTACCTGGGAACACATCAGGTAGTTTAACAGTGAGTTTTGCAGAAGTACATCTTTGGGAACTGAAAAAAGATATAGGAGGATATTTTCAGCCTGCTGAAGTTTGGCTGCAGGGGCCCCGTCCACATCCTGGCAGTGCTTCCTGCTTCCCTGCACACTGGCCTGATCTCCACCGCCAGCACCTGCAGCTGCTGCTGGGGGGACGCTCTGGTCCCTGGAGCTCTGCGCACACAGGAAAGTCAGTCCAGAAGTACCAGAGAATTACCAACCCCCACCCCGTGTTCCCTCATTCCTCAGGCGGGATGACTCCGGGCCCATGGTCCCCACTGTCCCCCCGAAGTTCCCCAGTGGGATCATGCTCCCGTCCACAGTGACAACTTGCCTGATAGCACACCCTTCATGGCTGCCTGTCTTCTTTTTCTCACTTTCCTACTCCTCTGCTGGAGTTCCCTGGAGCTGCCCCCCAGATAAATTACTGGTACTTTCCTCTTTGTCTCAGACTGATTCTAAGGGAACCTAAACTAAGAAACATGCCTGCTTTATTTTATTTTATTTTTTACCTAGGCCCTTTGTTTGTTTTATTTTCTTTGTTAGACTAAGGTGCTGGCTTTTACGGAACGATCTCTGCATTCTTTGTGATGTGCACATACATGTGAGATTATGGGAAGTATAGGCAATATAAATGAGATTAAGATCTGAACTACAGAACTTTCAGTCCTGGAAGGAGGGCACAGGGTACAAATGTAAAACCGTAACTAAAACAGATGGCCTTTAGTGTGGTGAATATTTATTGCCAATACCCAGGTGCAGAAGAGATCGCTTGGAGTGTACTGGTTACAGCAGGCTTCCCAAAAGGAGCAGAATTTCGGCAGAGGGTTTCATTTGAGTCAGGACTGACATAGGAAGGCACAGTGCCTTGCGTGTACAAATAGTATAAAAATTAGTTTGGAAAATGAGTGGGCACGTGGAAGGGTAGGTGGGTATATAGATGGATGGTGGGGGGATGGGGAATGGATGACTGGATACAACACAGTTCTGTGGATCAGAAGTAATCAAATAAAGGAACATCCCCTTTGCAGACATTAATCCAAGCCAATGAAACCATAGTAGAGGTCAGATTTCAATAATTAGGACCACTTCCTTCTTAATTCTCTTATTGAACCCACAAAGCCACAATCCCAAGCATTGAAGATGGATCACCCTACTGAGCAGACCAGCTCACTGTACAGCCCGACACCTGGGGGGGCTCAGGAGCCTCTTGACTTTGCCTGGGAGGGCACCTCTGACCCTAGCTGACCCCATCACCTCTTGTACTTTACCAGGTACTTAAAGGGGGCAAGGTCTGGGGTTGAGCTGGACCCCTTTCCCCAAGACCACTGTAGGTCAGACCCCACTCCCTGGGGAAGGTGGAGTAGCTCCGCAAAGCTCTAGAGACCCTGTGGATGCCAAATTTGCTGCCTTAGTGTAAGGCAAAGCTCAGGCTAGTTGGGGTTGCAGAATGAAAGTGTAAAACTGTGCAGACTGCCATCTAGTGGATGTTGGTTGGCCTTCTGCTCATTCTGGGCTGGGAATGAGAAGGGAGAAGTACAACCCTGTCGTGAATTCAGCCTTTTCTCTTTGTCTCTAGCTGGAACCAGGCAGACCTTTGCCATCCCCAAATGACCTCAAAAGAAAAATACTCATCAAAAATAAACGGCTGAAACCTGAGGTTGAAAAAAGTAAGTCAAATACACTCATCTATGGCAGAAGCGTACGTATCTTGCATGTTGAGACAATTCAGCTATCTAGAATGAAATATACTTTAACACCACGGATTGGGGGGAAAGCAGGTCTAGTGGTGATGTTCTATATACTGTGCAGAGCAAAGTTGCCACATTTTTATTCAAGTTTAGGTTCCACATCAACCCCTTCCTGCAGTGGGAAAACATATTCATATATTCATAGATCAGAATTTGGAGGAGTCCCAAGGAAAGATAAGAAGAAAGCAAAAGAAGCATTTTAGAATTTGTCAGATATAAGGAACTAGCACTTTATCATTTTATACACTCTAAAGCCTTCTTTAAAAGCTTCCCTTTGCACTTTTCCCTGTGATATATACATATCTAGGGATCCTAGGTAATATGCGAGTGTGAATGTGTGTGTGGTCGGGGGGGTGGGGGGAGATGATTTTACCTAGACATTGCCCCCACTGTGTTTTCCCAGAACATTTTCTTTGAAAATATTTTCTTCCAACAAATCTCTTAGTTCAGTGAATGAATAGCATCAAATATTGGTATGATTGCATTGTGGTTTTCCCCTTGGTTATTCTAAATTAAAAAATTTTAACTATTTTAGCTCCAGTTTATTTTTATTGCAAAAGCAATAATGCTATAGGAAAATGAAAACAGCAAAGAAAAATATAATAAAATAGCACTAAATTATATATTTTACACACATATACATGTATTAGAGACACATGTACACACGTACACTTTTAACATATACATGCATTTTTAACAAAACTGGGATCATGTTAAATATACTGATTTTTAGTCATTTTTAATTCAACCAATGAAGTATACTCATATCCAGGAGGATATAAATCTACATACTAATTTTAATTCTTATGTATAAAATTTTTTTTTGATTCTAGTGTATGAAACACTATACAGAATTTATTATGTGGCACATAGTGTAATTTAAACAGATCCAAGTTGATGGATTTTCATTGCTATGAGAACAACAATGGTAAACATGTTTGGCTGTTCATTTTGTACATTCATGCAGCCTTCTCCTTGGTACAATTAGAGTTGGTTGGCCAAAGCATGTACACATTTTATATCATATGTATCTTGTTATACTGACTTTCAGAAAAGTTGTACCAGTTTATACCCTCACTATGATATATGAAGAGTGTCTGTTTCCCAGCGATATTCTTTTTTTTTTGGCTGCATTGGGTCTTCGGTGTTGCGCTCGGGCTTTCTCTAGCTGCGGCGAGCAGGGGCTATTCTTCATTGCAGTGCGTGGGCTTCTCATTGCGGTGGCTTCTCTTGTCGAGGAGCACAGGCTCTAGGTGCGTGGGCTTCAGTAGTTGCAGCACGCGGGCTCAGTAGTTGTGGCGCACGGACCTAGCTGCTCCACGGCATGTGGGATCTTCCCGGACCAGGGCTCAAACCCGTGTCCCCTGCATTGGCAGGCAGATTCTTAACGATGGTGCCACCAGAGAAGCCCCCCAACAATGTTCTTAATGCTGGCTGTTAGACATCTTTTATATGTGTTCACAACTAATAATCGAAAAATATTTTTTCTTGAAGCTTTTTCAGTCTCTATTCTGTCACTTCACCATAACAGTCCATAAACCTTGCTCTGTGCCAGATGCTCCAAATTCTGGGCTTTTGTTATCAAGCTTCAGATCCTTCACAGGGACTGAGCTGTGACTTCTCAACCCGGTGACCAGGATATGGGGCATTTCCCTCACGTTCCAATAGTGGCTCAGTGTGTATAGATAATAGGGTTGTTGTACTTGCCTTAAGGACTCAAGGCCACCAGGACTGGGGAGACAGTGGCCGTGGCTGAGCCTCAGGAGCCTCGACAATAGGTTTCCCTTCCCTTTTCATTTCCTTCTCCATGTTGATCTTCAAACCTATTTTGTAAGTGATCCAACACCTGTCTCCATCTCCTTCTTGTTTATTTTTAATAACAGAACAGCTTGAAGCTTTGAAAAGTATGATGGAAGCAGGAGAATCCGCTGCCCCAGTGAACATCTTAGAGGATGATAATGAAGAGGAAATAGAAAGTGGTGAGTTGGATGTTTTAAATTTACACATCACAAAAAAATACTTTTTAAAATAAGAAAAACATGAATTTGTCTCAGTGGGCCCTTTTATATAACACAACATTCTAATTCCTAATAGGTACATGTACCAACCTTAATCTTTTGTTATTTTGGGGGAGTTTTCCAAATAGTATGACTTAGAATTTACCTGCACACTAGATTTTAGTAGCTTAGTCATCTCCTTTCCTGTTGTGCATTCAGCTATTCAGCAGAAACTCACAGCCAGAGAATCCTTGAAGCACTTGCTGTAGAAGGCCGGGCTTGGAATAAAAAGAACATTTCTGCAGTTCTTTCCCGTAAACAAAACCTGAACATCAGTGCTGTTACTGATGACAGCAGTAAGGCGAGTTAAAAGGGAAGGAACCTGGATAGAGACCCTCAGTAAATGCTTGGTTTGTGTGCACTTATAGTGAACTAGAAACTCAAAGCCAGAATTAAACTTTCAAGTTCAAATTCCTTCAAATAACCAGCTCACCAGAATTGCCTATATCTATATTTACAGGTAGATATTTTTTGCAAAGGCAGCCTTGCTCAAAATATTTTAATATTTGTTATTAACTTCTATTTTTACTTTGGCCATATAGCCACTACCATAGTCTTTGGTTTTACGTGGGTCATTTGAAAGGTTTGGAATGTTTTTAGAAAACTATTTGTTCATTATGTATCATGAGAATTGATTAACAAAATGACATGAGAGTTGATTAACAGAATAGTTTGGACATGCATTGAGTGTCTATTGGTTAGTGCCTTGAATTTAGATAGTGCCTTGGGGCTAAGTAATTTAGAAACATTTGTAGAAACTCTGTTTTTCATATAGACATCTGAAATAGAAGAGTAGATTTTAGGAAAGTTTGACATTATAGGTAAAAACCTAAAAGCTGTGAGAATCAACGAATCGTATTCACAACCCCTTAATAAAGACTCCTGACTATGGAAGAGACTTTATGAATGATTTATGTTGCCTGGGAACATGACTTACTTCCATATGTTTTATACATCAGGGAGGGTCTGGGAGGCCAGAGATACCTGGCAGTATTTAATCAATGCCTGTTGTGGTTATCTATTACTGTGTAACAAACCACCCCAAAACACTTTATTATTATCTCTCCTAGTTCTGTGGGTCACCTGGGCTCAGGTTGAGGGCTCTCCCTTTGGTTTCTCATGCGGTTGCCGGCAGATGACATCGGGGGCTGGAGTCATCTGAAGGTTCCACTGGGCCGGGTGTCTCGAGATGGCTCACTCGTGGCTGACGGTTGATGCTGGCTGGCTTTTGGGAGCTCAGCTGACACAAGCACCCCCATGTGGCCTCCCCAAGTGGCTTGGGCTTTTCACAGCATGGTGGCCAAGATCCTTGACAGAGCGTCCTGAGAGCCAGTGCTCCAACAGGCAGAAAACAGAAGCTGCTAAACTGTTTAAGAGCTGTGCTTGGAACTGGCACATCATCACTTCCTCTATATTTTATTCATCCAAGCAGTCTTAGTTAGGGCCCACCCACATTCCAGGGGGTGGGTGAGAGGCAAGATCATGTTGTAGAAGAATCAGTGGGAAGCTGGTATTATTGCAGCTGTCTTTGGAAAATACAGTCTGCCACATTGCTTATATTATTTCACAGTTTTCGCAAATAATAAACCCAAACAAGGTTTAAGAATAAAATCTTGAAAGGAATATACTGAGTTGGCCAAGAAGTTCGTTCAGGTTTTTCCATAACATCCTATGGAAATTTGGCCAACCCAGTATTTCAAAAGATCAATAAAATACTTCTAAAATTTGAAAGTCTGAATATTATATAAAAACTGTCCCTTAACTTAGGTTAAGTTTCATAGATGATAATCATACACATGTAAGGTGTTACTAGATACTCTAATCCAGTAAAACAAACTGAAGAATAATGGAATACATTAAGAAAAATCATAATAATAATAACTACGATTTTTGTACCAACTGTGGATTAGGTACTTTACATCAATTCCTCATCTAATCTTTATGCAGCCAAAGAAATAAGTATTATTATACTAATTTTTCAGGTGAGGAAACTGAAGCTTAGAGTGGTAACATATGTTACATGCAATCCCACAGCTGGTGAGCAATGCTACTAAGATTCAATCCCAGAATTGCCTTGACTCCAGGGTCAAGACCTTCTGTACCTTACAATATTGTCCTTCTAATGTATAGGAATATAAAGCGAACATAAATATGCAAAATCATTGGTAAAATATTTTTCTTTATAAAAAGGAAAAAATATATAAATGATGTGAGTCAAAAATGTGAAGTTTCCTGAACACACACACATTGATCTAAAATGAGGGCTCAGCAGGATTCCACTTACTGTCCTTAAGGGTACTTTCCCAACTTTTATGCAAATGCTAATTACTCCTATAGACAAAATAAATTTACCTCTAATGATTCCCATGTTATTCCAAAATGTTTGAGATAAAATTTTGATTGTTCTAACAGAAATATATGGGTTCATATGCACCTGAATTTCTCTCTAAGGCTATAGAGGTTTCTGCTATACCAGTTACATATGTGAGTCTCACGTTTCCTCAGTCATACTTGACTTCAGCTCTGGTCAGCCAGTTGGCTGTAATTACCCTGCTATCACAGTATGATCCTACTATACCTGAATGACTAGAGTCTCTCATTTAAATACTTCAACACAGCAGGCAAGAGGAAACCAAGCATAGTTCAAGAGGGCAGGCCTGCCTGGAGGCTGTAGAAAATAGAAAAGGCTCTCAGTCAGTGGAAGCGTGTGCCCAGTCATTAGGCTGGATGTAGATTCAGACAAACAGTGGAGAATAGCAGCATTGTGTGTGGTTGTGGGTGTGTCTATGCATACATACACACTCATGAGATGCTAACCTTTAGTCATACAACCCTTTTAAAACAGTTACTAAGTCTCTCCCCCTTCTATGGGGTATACCCCTGGAAATTCAAGTAGTTTATATCTGGCTAAGCAGGTTAGACTAGATAAAAAATTGAAATTCAGTAGTGATGGTGGGAGGTTTCAAAATCTTGGTTACAGACTGTAGGTCATGAAAACCCAGTGTCACACTAACAGCATTGGGCTAGAAGCCTGAGAAATCTAGGTTCATATTCTAACTCTGTGACCTCAGACAATTCAAATCATATTTGTGAATCTATTTCCTTTAAATGAAAACACTGGACTAGATTCTTTTAAGACCTCTTTCAGCTTCTCAAATCCTTTTTTCTTGCCCAAGGCCTATATGACCTACTTAAAAAAAAAGTCATCTGCCTCCAGACTACCCCCTCATCAGAATATCAGTTCCGGAAGAGGAGGGTGTCTGACTCGTTTCCCTTACCTTTATCCCTTCCCTGGAATAGCACTGTGCAAAAAGCAATCTAAAATTCTGAATCTAAGACACCGTCAGTTGAAAGGCACTACTATTTTATTGACTAAGAAAGAAAACTGCTTCCAGTGAATCGTAAAATGCCATCGATTAAAGGATACATTGCCATATTAGATATATTACAATGCGGGGAAAAAAATGCACCTTAGAATCGGTGAAAGTTTTTCATTTACTCCTGTTCTTGAATTCTCCTTTCCACCTTTGAAACATACTTAAAACAAAAAATGTCTAATTCTTATGGGTCTGTTCACCTCCCTCAGAAATATTTTCACTGTTTTTTTTTTTTAATAGTAAAGGTCCCTCATGCCCAGTATAGTGACAGTGTGGATTTGTGTGGGCCTTGTCCTGTGGCCTGTGGGTGTCTCCTGATTCTGGCTAGTTTTTAGGCAAATTCCTGGGAGCCCCTGCAGGATGGACATCATGGGAATACAGATCTCACACCAGCATGTGCCTAATTTTCCAACAGGCAATCCTTTTTCCACCTATAGCCTTGGGTGGATACCAGGGCTCTTATAATTTCCTGGACTGGTGGGCCGGGTGATGGCATCTGTGCCTCCCTATATAGCCAGGCCAGGCTCCTGGGTCACCAGCTTGACTTAGCACCCACTTCCTGCTCCCTTCCCACCATGAGCCCAATGAATGATTTCAGAGTCTTTTAAACCGCAGCCAGATTTGGCAAATGATTTAGGAGAGCAGTAAGTCCTTCCAAGCTCTATCTTTTTTATATCACACCACTCCCGGCCACGAGTTATTATGCCCATAAAATTCAAGTGGACATTTTTGACTCTTTTTCAGAATTATCAAATGTACTTTCCTTCTCTTGTATCTTTTTTTTTTCCTCTGGGTGTCATAGAGGATCAAAATACCCTGTTATGAGTCACAGTTCTTCCTGAGGTGTTTGAGGCTTTAATTTTTAAGGTTAGTATACTGGAAAGGAAGTAATCATTCACTTAAGAAAAATTTGTTAAGCATCAATCATGTAAAAACCATGCTAACAATGATTTACTGTGTAACACAAGAACAATATCTGATATCTTGTAATAACCTATAATGGAAAATAATCAGAAAAAATATATATATATATAACGAATCACTTTGCTATACACCTGAAACTAACACAATGTAAATCAGCTATACTCAATTTAAAAAGTCATGCTAGATGCAGAAGAAGTAACAAGATATGTTCCTTGACCTTGAGTAGGTAAGAATTTAGTGAGAGTTTTATCTGAAAAAAAATTGCTTATTTAAATGTTCCCATTTTCGTTTAGCTTCCTTCCTCTCTAGAACTGCTTATATTTTACCCAAGATTATGGAGGAGGCCTGACCCCTTGGTGGTAAGTTGGCTTCATGGATTTTCCATTTGTCTTTCACACAGCTGAGCAAGAGGAAGAAGCTCACCCTGAATACAAATATGGAAATGAACTTTCTGCAGACGACTTGGGTCACAAGGAAGCTATTGCCAATAGTGTTAAGAAGGTCAGAGTCTTGGTTCCCTTTCCTTTCATGACTTGCAAGAGGTAGCAGCTGTTAGTTATAGCATTTCAGAAATGTGAGAGCCACAAGAGAATAAGTAGGCTGTAATTCCCCTTCTCAGTTGGGTGGCCACAATCAACACCCGAACTCGAGGCATGCACAATACTAAGTTAGAAAGGACATTTAAGTGACTCATTAGCCATGCCCAGTGTTGACCCCTACCTCTTCGGCCCATGTCCTTCAGATGTTTTTATTCATTGCATTATTATAGGTGATCCGGGAGAAAACAGCAGCACCCCAGCAGCAAAGGTTAACCTATTCAAATCATCAGGAAAATGACCCCGATCACCCCGGCAAGCCCTCATTAGAAAACCAGTCCTACTCATTGATATCTCGTCTCCCTCTTAATGTAGAATAAGCCTAAAAATATTTCCATCCATCCAACCATTCAGCCAAAAAAATAGTAACTGTGTACCCACTATGTCCCAGGCACTTTCTGGGCCATAACAACCCAGAAGGGTCAAAACACACTTGGCTCCTGCCCTCATGGAGCTGATAGGCTGATGGGAGTTTATTGGAAGGGGGTGGGAAACAGACAACAAACAAGTAAACAGTCATTTGTATGATTACAATTTGTGATAGGTGCTATTACAAAATTAAGAGTGAGTACTCAGATGGAAAAAAAGAGGCGGAGAGAATAAAACAAGGAAATGAGAACCCAAAGGATAAAGAGGAACTGGCCATGCACAGGAATAGAGGTGTTGCTTTGCCCAGAGAGGGACCACAGCAGTAGCAACAACAAAGGCAGGGTGAACAGAGTGGGTTGAGTGAGAGGTCGAGTGAAACAAGATGAGATTAGACAGGCAGGTGGGAATTGGAGGATGAAGGATGTGAAGGGGGGCATGGTGAGAAACTCAAATGTTAATTTAAGTGAAATGTGAAGCTACTGAAAAAGTTTAAAGAAACGGGGCAGTGTAGCCTCACATAATTACCTTTGTGTGGGGGGTAGTGATGTGTGTGTGTGTGTGTGTGGGTGTGGGTGTGCACGCACTGAGAACATTTGAGATCTGCTCTCTTAGCACCTTTTGAGTATACAATACAGTCTTCCTAACTGTAGTCACCATGCTGTACGTGAGAGCCCCGGAACTTATTCCTTTTATAACTGGAAGTTTGTACCCTTTGATCAACATCTCATTTCCACCACCTGCTATCCCCTGGCAAAGTGGTTGATTTTTTTAATACTACTGAGTGATTGAGTAAGAAGATGCAAGAGTCATTGGCCTAGGAGTCATTGGCGACCTTGAAAAAAGGAGTCTCAGTGCGGAGGTTGGGACCCCTGTAGCAGATAGATGTGAGTGAGGAGACACTACACTTTTGGGCAGTTTTGCTATAAAGGGGAGCTGGTGGCTAAAGGGAACCCGAGGAGTCCAGGGAGTATTATTTTTAGGATGAATGAATCTGGAGTGATAAATGAATTCCTGGACGTGGGTGGGATTATGGTGATGTGAGGGTGTGGTCTTTGATGGGAGCAGCGATACTTGATCATTAAGACAGAGGATGAAGGTGCGGGTAGGTGTATGCCTTGGGTGCTAAGAAAATGGAAGCAAATTTGTCTGCCGAACAAAGCCAAGGGAATACTGCCATTACCCCTACCTTCTCCAATATAGAGAATCGCAGCTACTTTCAGACTAATAGATGCCTACTAAGACTCAGTGCTTACCTTTATGCTGCCTTTATCAACACAAGACATGAGTGTTGAGTAGCTGAAGAGTGACCCTTTACATACCAGAGGAGGTGGCCACATCGATTATTTCCCAAGCCCCATCACTAAATCATGTACTAAATTACCATAAGGAAGCATCAAAATAGGCAAAGACTATCAACAAAGAAGGGAGATAAGCATTAAGATGAGCTTTTATGATGTGAAAGAGAGCTATGCCATGATATCTTCTCAGTTCTCACTTTATCTATTCCTTTATGTTACCAGTAATTTCCCATCTTAACAAATAAATAGAATAATAAGTGTACATGAATTTATTTAAATATCTACATACGTATGGCTAGTAAATTTGGAATTTTGCCCTTTGGAGAGGTAAATTATTTTTATCTTTCTCTAATTTAGGCTTCAGATGACCTTGAACATGAAAACAACAAAAAGGTAACAAAATAATTTCATTGTACATTTTGTTTTCATTATAAGACACAGTACGTGGGCCTCTAATATTGAGCATTTTGTACTAAGTGTTGTTACTCTATCTTCCCCCACCCACTGCCCCATGAAATATCAGAATGTTTATAGGTATTATAGGTATAATATTTACATGCTCAATGCATCTACATATGAGTCTTCAAAAGAAAGAATTAATCACAGTGATGAAATGATTATATCCTGATAAAATCACAAAGCAGAGCGCAGGCAAATAAGATGATTTTCCTAAAAATAAGTGTTTAGTGCAATTAGGCAATTTCGTAGTTGGAATTTGAGATTTCATTCCTAGAATAAGAGTACATAATCATCAACACACTGAATTTTAAAGTAAAAATGACCTATAGGTCAACAAATTCATATTATAGTAAAATGGGAAGGGGATCTTGTTCTGACTATATTGACATTCTGAAAAATTGTCAGTTCACACTGTACACATTCTAGGAGTTTTATCTAACATTATTCGGTGTTGATTTTATTGTAAGGAAAGTAAAGTTACATTTTTAGTTTCTTTTATCCTCTTCATGGCTCATGATATCAAAGTGGTCTTTTTTAGTAAATGTATGTGGTTTATTATAGTAGTGAGATGCAAAAATTTACCTTGTCATTTGATTCCCACACTTCAGAGCTTCAGAAAATACTATCTTGTTGTGTATGGGGTCTTATCTTATTTGGAGTAAAACCCTATCTTCTTACTGTCTAAATATTGTTTGGAATAATCCTGGTTAAGTCTGATCCTGGTCTTCGCCCAAGATATTTGTGAAATTCTCTCCTACTAGAAATTCGTAAGGTATTGGGGTCAACAAAGGACAGGTTGACCGGTGATCACTGATATTTATTAGCTAAGTAGCTGTGACCAAGTTATTTTAATCTTTAAGGACTCAGTCTTCTCATGTGGTCAGTGGGTCAGACTCTAATCCTTGCTACACATGATGACTGACAGTAACGAGGTTGTCATGCACGGACTCAGGCCAGTACCTAGCTTATGGTACGGTGTTACTTATCATTAAACACACAAGAAAGGAATTAGACATGCCTCTGCCCTTATTTGGGGAGTCAGGACATATGAAAAATTTATTTTAAAAAATCCCAAGTTACATTCTTTGATTATTTATCTCAGACTTTTACTGGTGCAATCAGTTTGATGATCTAGAATGTTAAGTTATCAGATAAACAAATGGCCTATTTTTTTAACCAATGAATTGATTCATGTGAGTCAGCAGTTCATTCCTCAGTATCAATCTCAACTAAATGTAGATCGCTTTTGAAGGCGTTATTTTTGTTGTTGATTTTGTTGCTTTTGTTCTGATTTACTACAAAATGAACTACAATAAGTTGTTTCTCTTTGCCTCTATGCAAAACAATGCAGTAATAGGTCCTGTATAGTGGGTTCTCACATTAGTTTAAGAATAAGCATTTTTTTTAATACCGTAAACCATTTATGTATGTGGCTTGGTTTCCAAAGCAGTGTTAAACAAAGTGTGGTTCCCCAGACCACCCATATCATTAGCACTTGAGAACTAGTTAGAAATGCCAATTATTGGGCCTCACCCCAGACTCACTTTATCAGAAACTCTGAGAGTGGGTCCCCGGAATCTGTGATTTAACAAGCCTAGATTTACACTAAAATTGAAGGACCACCGTTTTTGACATTATGCCACAATTTGTGAAATCATGAATGATAATACCTGCTATACATATTTCATAGCATTGCTCTGAACTTCAGTATAGTTTCCAGAATAAAGCCCTTTGAAAATCTAAAAAATGTCCCCCAAATGTAAGGTAAACTTCATATTTTACTATTATCTCCATTTGCATTATTTGGAGCTACAGTGGACATTCACTTTTAAAGTTATCCTTTAGTTAGGATAACTGAGAAGAAAGAAGTCTTCATCTTTCGATCTGTGTGTGTGCAAATTATCGCTAGTGAGGCAGTCTGAAGCGTAAATCTGAGAGTCCTGCTGAAGTCACTGACGTGCATGTTCCCTTTGTCGTGCTCGTAGGGCCTGGTAACTATAGAAGATGAGCAGGCATGGATGGCATCTTATAAATATGTAGGCGCCACCACTAATATCCATCCATATTTGTCCACAATGATCAACTATGCACAGCCCGTAAAGTTTCAAGGTTTCCATGTGGCTGAAGGTAACACCGAAGGTTAAATGCTATTGCCTTTTTTGTCTGCTTTTCTTACGTTATGCTGTGAGCTGTGATCTGACTTGCTGCCATTTTCTTTTCTGGGCACGTGGACTGTTCCATCTCACCTTATTTTCATTGCGTAGACCACGTAGTGACATGTCCTTGGCATGTGGGGGCCTTGTGTTGTCGTTCCCGACATCGTCCACAAGGCGGCTCTGACAGACTATGGATTTGGTAGCAATCCAAGAGGTTAGCCTCTTGCATTAGATATACTTTTTTATAAGACTGCTTTCTGTCGAAAGCTGGTCTCCAAAAACGTATCAAGTATTTTCAGACTTTTCATAATTATTTCTGGACTGGAGAAGCTATCATCCTCATTGGAAATACATATTTCAGGGGTGGCTATGAATGGCAATTGGTATACACATAATTGGTTTAATGACTCCAAACTTAATTCATCACACTTTTCTTAAGTCAGCCATCTCCAGCCACAGGATGTTAATGAAATTAGGAGCTACTGATATAGTAAGGAGACATCTGCCTCCAAGGCCTCATGATTCAGGGTGTAATTATATTTATCGCTTGTCTTTCTGTGAGGGTTTGATGGCAGGGTTTCTAAGTGCATCTTTGCTTTCCTTTACAGAACGCAATATTCATTATAACATGTCTTCTTTTAATGAGTCAGTTGGTCTAGGCTACTTGAAGACACATGCGATTGAATTTGTGAAGTATCCTTATGTATTAAGTGGAATAAGTGGTTGGTGAACTTTGGGTTTGGCAGGAATCTCTAAAATAGAAAAATGGCTAATATATTATTGTGGTTGTAGAACTAATAAAATAATGTATGTGAAAGACCACAGCAGCTGGGAAAACCTGCCCAAATGTGGATTGTTTTTATAATCCACATGGTGAACTGTGGTTTTTCTCTTAAGCATCCTTTATACATGTGAAATTTGTTCTCTGTTGTCATATGTGTGTCATTTTTGGTCTAGATCTTCATTTTAGCTCTTTGTCACTGCCGGAATACTCTTTTTGCCATTTTCCTTAATATGTTACACAGTTATAACAAACGGCAAATGAGTCGCATTTACCCCAAGGGAGGCCGAGTCGATTCCAGTAATTACATGCCTCAGATTTTCTGGAACGCTGGCTGCCAGATGGTTTCGCTGAACTATCAAACCCCAGGTAGGAACTGATGTCCAGTGACCTCGAATTCCACGAGAACGCTTTGACAGGACGGTGCCAACAGTTGCCATCAGTTGGTTGTGGGCATTTTTTTCATGGAAGCAGACATATGGCAACACAATGTGTTGTTGGATTTATAGAATGGTGAGAAATTAAAAATGCAAACTAGAGCAATAAGACAATGGTAGAAGATAATAGATTTTGATTTCAATTGAATATCCTTTTGGAAATGCCATGACTAATCTGCTAAACATTGTCCCCTTTGCCAAAATATGTCTAATTTTGCTTCTTTTTGGATCAAACTTACCTTCTCGTCCAGAGGCAGAATGAAGTGAGAAGTATTTGAGCATCTTTGTATAGTAACTATGACTCATTTCTCCTTGGGAAAGTACCCTTCCCACTGTTAACATTCAGCAGGAGATCAGCAAAATAGTGGCATCTCACCGTAAGAGTGCAGAATATTATAGAGTAGATTCTGCTAAAATGGTGTTTAAGGAGTTCTGTACCCTTGGAGGTACTAATATATAACTTGTTCCTCCAAAGTGTATTCTGAGGCAAGTTTCCAGTATATAATCTTTTTTTTTTTTTTTCCCTGCAAGGAGAGCAGTCAATTTTTGTGAATGCATAAACAAAATTTGTCAAGTTTTCAAAGTTTGCTTAAGGGCCTAGGATTGCAATTAAAAATAGAAAAATAATAGGCTCTAGTTACTCACCTAAAACAGGTGAGAAATATGCCACAAAACCGATTCACTTTCTGTGGTTAATGCCACAGCATGGTCCTTAATATTGGTTAAGAAAAAAACCAAAACACCTTCCTTGTTCTGTTCTTTGCTCTATAACGGTGCCTCCCATGTTTCCCCATTTGGGGGGCATTTTCTTTTCAAGTCCATCCACCATATTTTGTGAATCTCAATCCACCTTGCTCCCTACGATCTGTACTGATCGAAAGGTCCTATGACTTGCATTCCCTTGGCATGAATGCGACCTGACTGTGTTTACCACCCCTTGGTGATGCTGCCTCAGTGATCAGGAACTGGGTTCAGATTTCTGCTCAGCATCCCTATCAGTGCTCACTCTGCTAAACTGTGACCAGGTACCAGCACAGCCCTGGAGTGTTTCTAACAGAGACAAAGTACGATTAAAAGGCACTGCTGATTTTACTTAAAAAGAGGTCAAGTTTTATTATTTATTGTCAGTGACTCTGTTATAAGGATTAAATGATCCAAAGGCAGCTTATGATCTAGGTCAGTTTATGTTGTATTCTATAACGTTAGGTTTAATCACAGCACTTTGAGAAGAAAAAAAAAAATCCATCAGCTGCCCATTTCTTTTGCTGATGAAAAGAAAGAACATTGCGTTTGCCTGCAAGAGAAAAACCATAAGCCATGCCCTGCCACTAGACCCCACTAGAAGAATTCTCCTGAAGTCACCTTAAGTCAATTTTTACATACTTACCTAGTTTATTTTTTATTTTAATCGAGTTTTGTATTCACATGACCCTACTGGGTATGTCCGGTGTACCCTTCCTCTGGGATGGTAAGGCACATCTCCTCTAACTATATATCAGCTTGGACATCTGTACTCTCAACACTAACTCAACAATCATATGAAACATATATTGAATCCAAATTTTAAAGCATTGCCAACATGATCTCTATGAACACAGATTTTTTTGTTTAGTTTAAACACAAGGTCATTTCAACATGGAAGAGAGAGTTGTATGCCTTAAACAGACCCTTTAACCTTGTGGTGTTAAAAAAAGACCTTTCAGCCAGGGGTCAGTATCTGATTTCCGTTGTTTGAAATCACGCCATCAAGATCTTCTTTGTCCGAGGAGACGAGATGCTAAATTATTTTTGTCTCTTAACAGATTTAGCGATGCAATTGAATCAGGGAAAATTTGAGTATAATGGATCGTGCGGGTAAGTAATGTGATTTAAACTGTAGTCACTGTGTTCCACACTCCATACTACAGCTGTAATGAAACCGTGTCATTTTTAATTAGGAGCTGCTGAATTTAAGCTGGGTTTGAGGGATGGGATAGAAACAAATGAAATCCCCAGGTAAATTACATCTGCAACGTACATTCTTCACGGGACCCCTGTTTAACTAAGCAGATTTAAAAAAAAATAAATAACGACTAGTTAAGCAGTTTATTATACACACTCTAGATTTTAGTGCTCTCACTTTAAATTCAGTAGCGGAGGTTTTTATAGCTAGGACAGATAATGAATGTGCTCATTTGGACATCAGCAGTAGACAAAGACATTAAATACGTGTATTTTACATACGACCTAGAGAGGAATGAAGTTGATTTAATATATAATGAAGTCCTAGGTGTCAAGTGGAATTTATTTCAGCTAGGAAGAAGGCTTTGTCCTCCTTTGATAGACATGTTTTGTATGTCTTGTAAATAGCAGCTACCAAAAAATAACACTATAAATGTTGTTTCAGTTACTTAAATAGAGCTCCCTAAAATCTGCAAACCGAGTAGTGAAATAGGAAATGTTCATTTCATTGAAACACTGAAAGGTTAAATGAAAATATGAAGTTAACATTCTATACATATGAAAAAAAACTGTGTGACCATTTTTTTTCTCCATGCAAATGTCCCCAAGCAGCACTGCAGGTAAATAATCACAAACCACTGCCCAGAGACCTCTAGACTAATTCAATAGAGTACTGTCTCATCCCACCATGCTACTGTCAGGATGTTCGTGGCCTCCCTGGTTGGATATTTAATTTCCATTACTAAAAACAGTCAAGATAAAATTTTCAGCACGTATGGTTTCAAAATGCCCACTCCCACCTCTTCCTGCCTGCCAGTTCACCTACACCCACGGGTGACAACCCTGCTACCCAAATCAGGATATAGCAGCTTACGGGATATTTGCCTCTACTGTGTATTTTGAAAGAAGTAAAAACTGTATACCTTAAACTAATACAGTGTTATATTTCAATTATATCTCAATAAAACAGGGGGAAAAATAAAATTATGGGTCAGAAGAAAACAGCTAAATACACATTTCAGAGATTTTTTTTTTTAAGCTACTTTGTTATTTAGCGCAAAGCATTCAGAACCAGGAGATTGTGTAGGTAAATTGATGGGTGGACCCCCAGTGGAGGCTTAGGCAATGAGACCCCAAGGGCAGCTGTGGCACAGGGGATAAAAGCCCTCGGCTCCAGCCTGACCCGGGTTTGAGCCCTGGGTGCGCCACATGCTGTTGTTGCCCTGGGCAGGTGTGTTAGACCCTAAACCTCAATTTCCTGCTGATAAAATGAAGTCGGTAATGCCTGCCACCCTGGGTTTGCTGTGACAGCTCAGAGGGTTTGGACTGAGTCTATTTGAATTACTTCATGAGCTGCAGATTTCTGTGAAAAAGTGAGGTTGCAAAAAAACTTAAGCCCATATGACCGATCACAGGCAGGAATCACACAAGATTAAATGAGCAGTCTGCTCACAACAGGCCTGTAAGGAGCCCAAGAGACAACCCTCATGGTTCACACCTGGCTGTGCTCACTCCCTGAACCTTCCTGTGGCTCACGGATGCCAAAGGAGCTTTTCCTTTCACCTCAGCCGTTTGATGGCTTATCCTGCCCTGACACGGGGAGGGGAGTTGGTTCCACGTAAAAGGGGTCCCACTGTTACTGAGCCAAACTTGGGTCTGCTCGTGCACATGCAGTAAAGTCAGTCTACTGACACCACGTTGTGGTGAAGGAAAGTGCAGCATTTATTGTAAGGCCCTATACAGGGAGAACGGGTGGCTAGTGCTCTAAAACTCCTGAACTCCCTGAAGGGTTTCAGCAAAGCATTTTTAAAGGCCAGATGATGGGCGGGGGGAGGGTGTCACAGGGCACACACAATTGGGCTTGTGCACAGTTCTCTGATTGGTTGATGGTGAGGTAACAGGGCAGTGTCACAGGGGTTCACATTATCAATCCTTAGGCTCCAGTAGGTCTTGGGGCCACATGCAAGTAATTAATTTCCTCCATTTGGTGGTGGTTTTAGCATCTGAAAAACTCAGGAAATAGGCATCAGATACTGTTATCTAGGTACTTCAGAGAGGAGCTAAGGCAGAGGATGTAGCGGAGAAGTCTGTCCCAGGAAGACCTCATAGGGTCCTGCTCTGTTACACCAACAGGAGTTCTACGCCTTCACTATGTTTCTTTTCAGGAGTTTCCGATTTGCCACAGTTCACATGCTCAGTGTCTCACCTTCCACACCATTGTGTATTTTAAAATATGTTCATGAGCAAGGATGGTGCTACATTAGCCTGAATTCTGTGCTCATGTGTTTGAGGTGATGTGACCAAAAGCTGAAGTCCCATCAGGGGGACTAAAAAATATGATTGTTCCTTGGGGCAGCCTGACTACAAGAGATGTTAACAGTATTGTTCAGTCTCATGTCCCCCTGCCCCTTCCCTTTTCCCCACACCCAGCCTGGAGGAAGAGGTTGTCACCAACAGGGCAGAGAGAGGCAATCTTTCTCACGAGTGTGCTGTGCCCCTGAGGAGTCATAGCTGGTGGAGATGGGCCAGCCACTGAGCAAGGGCATCTGAGGCACCCGATGGATTTCACTGCACTACCCTTGTCATTCTCCTGCCCACCTGCAGGGACTTTTAAAAAATCCTTGTGGATTGAGTTACTTGTAGTGAGGTGGATGGACCTAGAGTCTGTCATACAGAGTGCAGTAAGTCATAAAAAGAAAAACAAATACTGTATGCTAACACCTATATATGGAATCTAAAAAAAAAAAAATGGTAAGAAGAACCTAGGGGGAAGATGGGAATAGAGACGCAGATGTAGAGAATGGACTTGAGGACACAGGGAGGGGGAAGGGTAAGCTGGGGCAAAGTGAGAGAGTGGCACGGACATACATACAGTACCAAATGTAAAATAGATAGCTAGTGGGAAGCAGCCGCATAGCACAGGGAGATCGGCTCGGTGCTTTGTGACCACCTAGAGGGCTGGGATCAGGAGGGTGGGAGGGAGACACAAGAGGGAAGAGATATGGGGATATACGTTTATGTATAGTTGATTCACTTTGTTAAACAGCAGAAACATACCATTGTAAAGCAATTATAATCCAATAAAGATGTTAAAAAAATAAAAATAAATAAGAAATCCTTGTGGGCTATGTCTGAGGGCTGTGTTTCTGTACAGAGACATTCTGTGCCTTTTAGGCCTGCAGTGGCACAAACCCCACCCCCATAAAGCCAGGGCTCCAGCTCCTGCTTCCCCATCGATGCCCAGGGTCCCTGGGCCTACACAGCCTCCAGGTCTGTGAGTGACCTGTGAGGTCTCTGCCACCTTAGGCCCCAAATTGACACTCGTTCAAGACAAGCTGGCTAAGTGTCACCCCCAAGCCAGGGATCCTGTCAGACTTCTGTAGCCAAATCCAGCCTCTGTACCCTGACACCAAATTAAATCTCGAGATGGAGTTTTGGGTGACGTAGAAAAAAGTAGCTTTATTGCTTTGCCAGGCAAAGGGGGCCACATTGGGCTAATGCCCTCAGAATTGTGTGTCCTAACCCAGAGGGGGTAGTGAGGAGTTTTATAGAAATGGTTCAAAGAGGGTGTGATCAGCTCGTGGATATTCTTCTGATTGGTTGGTGGTGAGGTAATTGGGAGTCAGCATCATCAACCTCCTGGTTCCAACTGGTCTGGGGTCTGGTACTTGCGAGCAGCATACAGTTAACTTCTCCCACCTGGTGGGGGTTCAGTAACTGCAAAACAGCTCAAAGGTATTGTTTTGTGTATCCCTTGAGGGAGGACCAGGACCTTGCCCCAAGGCTGCACTATTGTTTCTTGACTGTTCTTCCTTTGTCTCCGCATTTCCTCCCTTCCCTGGTTAGCAACTGTTTGAACCTGCTCATTGGAACTCAGGGAAGGTGGTAGAGGCTGAATGAAGCCTATTTCCTACAAACAAAAAAATGGGGGGACACAGAGAGGCTTTTGTGTCCAGGAGCCCCACAGGGTCCTGCTCGGTATCACTTCTACACAGTCACTTTTATTTTTTAAGTATATAAATGAACACATTACACTGCAAGCTGCCAACTTTGGAGAATCGGACTTGGATTTCTTGCCATTTCCTCCTGACATTTTTTATTTTGGATCACGCTTTCACAGATTAGTTTTCTTCTAAGCAGGTCTGAGAGCAGCAGGGAATGTGGAAGAATGTTGTTGATACTGAAACATCATCAATATGACATTGCTCTATTTTTGGTGAGAAGGGGCTCCTGACCCTTCAGAAATGACTGAGGAGCACCACAGGGAGTCCTGAATGTCTACAGCCACTGTCCTAGGAGATTCTGGACTGGGCATATGACTACAGTCCTTTATGGACCCCGAGTCCCACCTTTCGCAGAAGGCAGATTCCCTCATTTCACACAACTGGAATCCAAATGCTGCCTCCATGTGAAAGCTAGAGCCATGATCCATGACCTCGCCTTGCAGCTGATGTCTGATGCTTGGCCAGGCAAAGCTAGTAGGCTTGCCTTGGAGAAGTGTGTGTAGAATTGTATCCGTTCATCTACTTCCCATCCTAAGTCTTGAGTTTTTGCTGTATCATCATATTTTCCAATGGTTAACAGTTGCCACAAAAAAAGGTCCAAATCAAAGCTCTATAAACATAGAAAACAATATCTTCTATGCAGAGACCTTGTATTGATATATTAATATTAAGGGTTGCGTTCTGTTGGAGACAGGTGAATGTTCAATGTCATCTTTAATATTTGAACTATTCTATAAACTCTCTATATCCTTTATTTAAAGGTCAGTGTTGTTCTCGGGTTTTTTATTGATTATTATATCCAAGTGGAATGTGGGCTTGTTTTTTAACACTTTTTTGTTCAGACTCTGAAGATAGCAAAGAATGGCAACTTTGTCAAAACCAAAAAACATGACTTTAAACTTTCCTTTAAGGAAAAATATTATGCCTTGGGATTCCTTTTTTGGTTGTATTTTTAAAGATAGTAATAAATTTGACATCATCTAGAGTTGAAACTAGTAAAAGTTATACTCCTAAGGAATATGAAAGATTTGATCCCAAATTGTGATTCTTTTACATCTAAAAGCAAACCTAGAGTTTTGGGGAAAGTGTTTTTATTTTCCTTTATATACTGATCACATTGGTGTGGAATTTTCTTATCTATAGTTATAGTCATTCCTAACAAAAAATATTTCGTTTAGAGAGATGAAGTTCTTTAACACGAGTTTCAGGAAAGTTATGGAATCTAGCCAAGGTGTGATTCTGTGACCATACCCAGTGGGGATAAGGGGCAGACAGTGCTGGAGATCAATTTTAAAACATTTTAGTCATACAAAAAAGAAAATTCGTACCCTTTAGCTGTCACCTTCCAACATCCCCTGCCCCCATCCCAGCATTAAGCAACCACCAATCTACACACTGTCACTATATTTTTGCCTGTTCTGCACATTTCATGTAAATGGATTCATATAATATGTGACCTTTTATGACTGTCTTGTTTCACTTAGCATAATGGTTTCAAGGTTCACCTATGTTGTAGTGTATATCAGTACTTTATTTCTTTTTATTGCTGAATAATTTTCCATTATATGGATATACCTCATATTGTATATCCATTCATCTTTTGATGGACATTTGGATTGTTTCTATCTTTTGGTTATTACAAATAATGCCACTATGAAAATTCATGTACAAGTTTCTGTATGGACAGATGTTTTCACTTCTCTTGGGTGTATACCTAAGAGAATCACTGGGTCATATGGTAACTCTATGTTTAACTGTTTGAGAAACTACAGACTGTTTTCCAAAGTGGCTGCATCATTTTACATTCCCACCAGCAATGTCGTATGAAGGCTCCAATTTCTCCATCTCCTCGTCCGTAGTTACTATTATCTGACTTTTTTTTTATTGTAGCCGACCTAGTGTGTGTGCAATGGTATCTTATTATGGTACTGGTTTGCATTTCTCTGTTGACTCATGATATTAAGCGTCTTTTCAAGTGCTTGCCGGCCATTTGTATATCTTATTTGGAGAACTGTCTATTCAAATCATTTGCCCATTTTTTAACTGGGTTATTTGTTCTTCATATATTTTAGATACAAGCCTCTTATCAGGTAAATGATTTGCAAATATTTTCCTCATTCTATGACTAGTCTTTTCACTTTCTTGAGAGTGTTCTTTGAAGTGTAAAAGTCTTTATGATGAAGTGAAGTTTATGTATTGATATTTTTGCTCATTGCTTGTGCTTTTGGTGTTATGTCTAATAATCCATTGTCAAATTCCAAGTCACAAAGATTTATCCCTAAGTCTTCTTCTAAGAAATTTATAGTTATAGCTTTTACTTTTAGGTCTTTGATCCATTTTGAGATAATTTTTGTTTATGGTGTGAAAGAAGGGACTAATTTTATTCTTTTGCATGTGGCTATCCAGTTGTCCTAGCATCATTTGTTTAAAGACTGTTCTTTCCCTCACTGACTAGTCTTGGCATCCTTGTCAAAAATCAGTTGAGCATAGATATGAATTTATTTTTGGACTCCCAATTCTATCTCACTGATTTATATATCTATCTTTTTGCCAGTACCAAGATGCTTAGTATTTGTTGATTTGTAGAAAGTTTTAAAATTGAGAAGTATGAGACCTCCTACTTTGTTCTTCTTTATCAAGAATGTTTGGGGAATTCCTGGTCCTTGAGTTTCCAATTGAATTTTAGGATTAACTTGTCAATTTCTATAAAGAAGACAGCTGGGATTTTGATAGGGATTGTATTGAATCTGTATATCAATTTGGGGACTAGCACCATCTTAACAATATTAAGCCTTCTGATCCATGAACACAAGCTATCTTTCCATTTATTTAGTTCTTTTAAAATTTTCTTCAACAATTTTTTGTGGTTTTCCAAGTATATGTACTTATTTTGTTAAATGTATTCCTAAGTATTTTATTATTTTAGGTTCTGTTATAAATGGAATTGTTTACTTAATTTCATTTTTGGATTGTTCATTGCTTGGTGTGTAGAAATACAATTGATTTTTATATATTGATTTTGTACCCTGTAAGCTTGCTGAACTCGTTTATTAGTTCGAATAGCTTTTTAGTGGATTCTTTAGGATTTTCTATATATAAGATCATATCATCTGAGAATAGAAATAGTATTAAATACTTCTTCTTTCCAGTCTGGATGCCTTTTTATTTCATTTTCTTACCTAATTAGCCTGGCTAGAATTGGAGAAATAATAACATCTTTATCTTCACCCACCTCTAACTGAAACTTTACATTCCCTTCGATTATGAAAATAGACAACAATTCGCAGTAATGTTAGTGGTACCTCTGACTCTGACACTGATATAAATCACAGATATCTCATTACTTTTGTTAGAGATCTCTCGAAATATTCTTATGATTATTGGCACTTTGAAACTATGTAGTTATCAAACTTGTCATTATATCCCATAATTTAATACATTAATTAAAACAATGAATAATATCACGTATTTCCCATATTTTGATAACTATAGCTCATTTTCGTTGGTTTTTCATTATTATTTTGTGCATGTAAGAGCATAAACGAGTTCCAGAGAAGACGGTCGTGTCAGGAAGTCATAGATGTCCCAGAGCCTGGAATCTAGAGAACATTTGCTCTTCCCTGCTCCTCATTAGGATTATCCACAGGGCAGGGATATTCTCTTCAGTCCTTGAGATCCTCTACCTAAAAGCCTAGCTCCTAAGTTAGAAATGGGGATAAATAAGTATTCAGTATCCTGAATAGTGGTTTTCTTAGTCTTTATAAAAATAACTAACAAAATAAACTCCTTCTGCACTTTTGTCCCATCAGGTACCTTCTCAAACCAGATTTCATGAGACGGCCTGATCGAACATTTGATCCCTTCTCTGAAACGCCTGTTGATGGGGTTATTGCAGCCACTTGCTCAGTGCAGGTAAGGTGCTTGTTTTTCACAGAATAGTATAAATGTATACGCAGGTGGTCTTGGAAAAGTCTTAGGAAATTACAACAAAAATATTTAATGTTGGGACTTCCCTAGTGGTCCAGTGGTTAAGACTCCACGCTCCCAATGCCTGGAACTAGATCCCACATGCCGCAACTAAGAACCCACATGCCCACTAAGACCCAGTGCAGCCAAATGAAAAATAAATAAATAAATTTAATGTCAATTTGCAAGATCAGTGTGTGGCTCTCAACTCTGATTTTAAATTCTTTCTTTTTTTCTTGAGAAACATGTTTTTCTACTAGTGACATTATTAGCTGCTTTTAATGAAAAACACCAGATCAAAAAGTATCCAGTAGAGGCTGTGGAGCAACGGGAACTCTCGGCCATTGATGGTGGGAATGCAAAATGATGAAACCGTTTTGGAAAACAGTTTGGCAGTTTCTTACAAAACTCAACATACTCTTACTATATGATCCAGCAAGTTGTATTCCTTGTTATTTACCCAAATGAATTGAAAACTTATGTCCACACAAAAACTTAACAGGGATGTTTTTAGCAGCTTTATTCATAATTGACAAAATTTTGAAAGTAACCACGGTGCCATTTAGTAGGTGAATGGATAAATAATCAGTGGCATATCCAGACAGTGGAATATTATTTAGTTCTAAAAAGAAATGAGCTATTGAGTCATGAAAAGGCATGGATGAAATTTAAATGTACATTACGAAGTGAAAGAAGCCAGTCTGAAAAAGTGACACACTGTATGATTCCAACTATATAACATTCCGGAAAAAGGCAAAACTATGGAGATGCTAAAAAAGATCAGGAGTTGGGGGGAGGGATTAGCAGGCAGAGCACAAGGGATTTTAGGGCAGTGGAACTATTCTGTATGATACTACAATGGTAGATACGTGTCATTATACATTTTTCCACATCCATCGAATGTACAACACCAAGAGTAAGCCCTAAACGTAAACTATGGACTTTGGGTGATAATGAAGTGTCAATGTAGGTTCACTGATTGTAACGAGTATACTACTGTGGTGCGAGATACACATAGTGGGGGAAGTGGTGGGTACGGGGACAGGGGTATATGAGAACTCTGTACTTTCTTCTCAACTTTGCTGTAAAGCAAAAATGGCTATAAAAAATAAAGCTTATTAATGAAAAGATACCTACTATATGATTCCACTTATACTAAATTCTAGAAAATGCAAACTAATGTATAGTAACAGAAAGTAAATCAGTTGTTTCCTCTAGACAGAGATGGAAGAAAGGATGAATTACAAAAGGGCACAAAGGAACTTTGGGAGTTGTTGAAAATATTTATTGTCTTAATTGTGGTGATAGTTTTACAGATGTGCTCATGTGTAAAAACTGATCTCATTGTACACTTTAAACATGTACAGTTTATGTCAGTTATACCTCGAAAAACTGTTTCACAATTATTAGCTATTAGATAACATGAAAAAACCTAATAAATGGCTGTCGTCATTTGGAAAATAAATGAAAAATAGTCTCTCCATAGCTTTAAAATAGATAAAATTTAACACTGGTCTTTACAAAAAATAACACTGTCCTGTATGAAGATTGTCAACATCAGTTTAGCATTGCTTTTCTTTCTGTGTGTCTCAAGACTTTTGAAAGAATTCAGTGAAAGTGTGGCGTGACAGAATTTCAGAGCTATGAAGTGGCCTTAGGGCATATTTGAATCCTTTGCTTCATTTCATAGGTGTGGGCACTTAGGTGAAGATGCTGTGGACAGTATTGTTTTGTAATAGATGATTCACGTATAGTTCCCTCTTTCTTTTTCTAGGCAGTTCTCGGAGGCAGAACCTCTGCCTAGAATAGTTTTTTGCATGTAGTTCTTGCTCAACCATGTTTTAGTTTAATAAGGAATGAATACATTATTTCCATAGATAATTAAAATTTCTAAAGATGAACAGAGAATCTCTTCCTTCCAGATTATTCTTTGCTACTGATGATTGCACTGACTTTACTTCTCTCTCATCCTATTTCTATAGGTCATATCAGGTCAGTTCTTATCAGATAAAAAAATTGGCACATATGTAGAAGTGGATATGTATGGGTTGCCCACCGACACTATCCGGAAGGAATTCCGAACACGCATGGTGATGAACAATGGACTCAATCCAGTTTACAATGAAGAATCATTTGTATTTCGGAAGGTAGGGTATTTTCAATGTATCAGACTCACTCTGCTAAGTTGGGAACTACATTTTGGTGTAGAGACACTACATGATATAGGGACAGTTATTCAACCCTAAATGTGTTCTTCTAATGCATGAGTTCTGCAGCCATCATATGATTGTTGTTTCAGTTTGTCCCTGTCCTCCTCTTGGCTCTCCTTCCTCCTTGGAGGAGCCCACCTCCCACATGGCAGTGCCCAAGCCCCAGGTTAGCAGTCTACTCAGAGGGAGCCCTACAGGTGGACAGCCTCACATGTGGCAGAGCTCTTCCCTGCCCTTGTGGCAGCTGGTGACTTGCACTGTACCTTTAGCCAAGAGGACGGGTAGGATGTTGCACCTAAACTGAGGCCAATAAATGTCCTTAAATGGGTCAGTTGGTATTGTCCTGTGCCTCCAGAAAGTGTGGTCCCCATTGCTACCCACAGGTCCTGTGGGTCGTGTGCTGTTTTTGTCTTTTTGTTTTTTATCTCCTTATTATACCTTGATCCTAAGACCAATCAGTCATTCTCTGTAATGATGCAGTTTTTAATCTTGTAACCATTTTTTAAAAATTTGTTTTATTTATTTATTTTTGGCTGCGTTGGGTCTTCGTTGCTATGTGCAGGCTTTCTCTAGTTGCAGCGAGTGGGGGCTACTCTTTGTTACGATGCACAGGCTTCTCATTGCGGTGGCTTCTCTTGTTGTGGAGCACGGACTCTAGGCATGTGGGCTTCAGTAGTTGTGGCTCACAGGCTCTAGAGCACAGGCTCTGTAGTTGTGGCGCACGGGCTTAGTTGCTCTGTGGCATGTGGGATCTTCCTGGACCAGGGCTCGAACCTGTGTCCCCTGCATTGGCAGGTGGATTCTTAACCACTGAACCACTGGGGAGGCCCTTAATCTTGTAACCATTTTTTTTCCAGTTGTTTCTCTTTCATCAATGGAAGATGTATTGAAAAATCCATGCACTGGCAGTGCTATCTCAAAAATGCCTGTTTCTTTCTCACTTGTTCTGTTATCCAACCAAAATGCTTTCTTGCTTCTTCTTCAGGCACAGGTTTTCCAAGTGTTGCATGACATACATATGTCATGCAACACAGATAATCAGCTTTTTATCTTAACAAAAATAGGGATTATCAACCTCAGAATTGGCTAACTTGTTTACAGAAAGCATATTACAGAAGATCAATATAGTTCAATAAATCAAGCCATTTTGACGTGTAGGCGCTCCCTGTTACGTGAATACCATTATCCGTGCAACACCCTCTCCCCATTTTCACCTTCTCTTCTACAATCAGAGTGTAGTGTGAATTGCATACACAGCTGTGATGTGTCTTTTTTTTCTTCCCATGTTTTTCAATTTGTTATAGCTGGATCTGTTGTCAGTATGGTCAGTGTTTTGGAACATAATGAATAATCCCTACACACATTTCTAGAAATTCAGAAAGCTGGCTTCAGGCATTGTTTTTGATGCATAGGGAAATATCAGAGTTGGTTTTTCATGCAGTATTACTGGCCCCAGAAACAAGACGCCAATTTTGCGTCCTCCCCTGTTCTTTAGAAGTTACAATACGTTGCCTTTCATTGATACCAAGTGCTTTAACTTTAGTTTCCTTCTTGCTGGTATTGTTTTTGTTCATTGCGCTAATCTCACAAGGTAAGCCCCCATTCACCACGTGAGGAACAACATAGTGACTGAAGTTGGATGCATTTCATCTTGGTTTCTCCTGTTCATCTTCATGAAGTTGGAATTAAATTAAAACCCTAGGCATAAATAAGCAACCAGTTCATTGTCTAGCTTTAGACATAGTGCTCAAATCAGACGAGATATCTTAGCGGCTCATAGCCAATAAATAGGCATTCTTTTTTTTATTTTTTATTTTTTTTGTGGTACGCGGGCCTCTCACTGTTGTGGCCTCTCCCACTGTGGAGCACAGGCTCCGGACGCGCAGGCCCAGCGGCCATGGCTCATGAGTCTAGCCTCTCCGCGGCATGTGGGATCTTCCCGGACCGGGGCACAAATCCGTGTCCCCTGCATCGGCAGGCGGACTCTCAACCACTGCGCCACCAGGGAAGCCCTAAATAGGCATTCTTGATTAAAAAACATAGGATTTTTTTTTTGTCATGTTGCTCTTTAATATCTGAATACGGCTTCTGCTATCTGAGCTCAGATGTTTTGGCCATGTATTAGGTTTGGGGTTGGCAAGAGTAGATGTCTTGGGTATATGTTAATGTTGATTTTTGTTGGTGTTTTTTTGTTTTGTTCTGTTTTTGTTTGTTTTGTTTTATTTGTTGTGCTGCACAGCTTGCGGGATCTTAGTTCCCTGACCAGGGATCAAACCTGGGCCCTTGGCAGTGAGAGCACAGAGTGCAAACCACTGGACTGCCAGGGAATTCCCTATGTTAATGCTTCTAGCTGCCCCATCTTACTCTATTTAATATCCCAAAATGTGTTAAAAACTGAGGTGTGCAAGGAAAAGGGGAAATCTAAATTTATATATAGATTGTCTTTTATACATGAGGTGTTTCTTCAAAGATACTTTCCATATTCTTAAAAACAGAGTTTGATGTCAGAAGCAGCCCAGGTAGTAGACAGATCACAGGACTAGAAATCAGGAGCCCCAGTATCTAGGCCCAGCTTTCACTGGCCATCTCTGACATAAAGGAAAGTCACTTTATTTCTCAGGGTCTCCTTTTGCTCATCCATTACATGGGTGGGACAGGGAAAGATGCCAAGGATTGGAGTAGTCATCTTTCACATCCATTCATTCCATCTAAAATTTTCAGGAAATGATTTCCAGGAAATGAATTCCAGCCTGTTCCAATTGCCTTTCTCAATGGCTTGGGCATTGTAGCTTATACAGTATGCTTTAAGAATGCAAATTGACCATTGGCTTATTTTCACCATAAAGAAGCCTTTCAGAACATTATGAATATACTCCAGATTCCTAGAGTTGTAATTTTTGGGAGCTGCATTCCAAAAAGCAACAAAAAGTACCATTTCTTGTTTGCAGGTGATCCTCCCCGACCTGGCAGTCTTGAGACTTGCAGTGTATGATGACAACAACAAGCTGATTGGCCAGAGGATTCTGCCACTGGATGGCCTCCAAGCAGGCTATCGACACATTTCTCTTCGAAATGAGGGAAATAAACCTTTATCACTGCCAACAATTTTCTGCAATATTGTTCTTAAAACATATGTGCCTGATGGATTTGGAGGTTAGTTAAACTTTTAGAATATTTTGTGTGTGTGTGTGTGTGTGTGATTTCCCCCTCAATTGCACAATTATAAGCTATTTCAACAATTGTTAAAAAGTCCTTTGCTGACAATGCTACCAACCCCTATAGTATTGAAGAAATCAGGGATAATTAGTAACCTCAGGTCTCCTAGTAAGAAATGAAAGGGCAAGTCTAGATTATCTTTAAGGTTCTTTCTTATTTTAAAATACTGTAATTTTATGTTGTTTTTCAACTTTCACAAATACATTTGTGAAAAATATATTTACACCATCACTCAAAGTGAGGAAAGACATGAATGATGTAAAACCTTAGATATCTTGTCAACTGGTTTCACTAAAAAGATTTAAATTGAACTCAACTATCAACATGCCTGGATTTTTTTTTTTTTCCAAATCACAGGAGAGTTCATCCTCGCACAAAATCCAGCCATCAGTCCATAAAAGACCACCTTTGGTTATACTAATCAATGGGAAGCATCAAAAGTTGGACCAAGTCATAGGATTTTGCTTAAACCCAAACATTAGTTTTCATAACCCCCACTCTGCCAAGAACATTAAAAGGAAACAAAGATCCTCTATATTTTCAGAGTCTGTTGAACCAGGAAACAGTACACAAAGTACATCAAATTAACAAGGGCTCAAGTCCTGACTCTCCACTGCTAGCTGAGTGACCATGAGACAGTGACATCACCTTTCAAACACCTCATTTCCTGGCCTGTAGAGTAAAGGTACCATTACTGTCTCCCTCATAGCATCCTTATGAAGTGTGTGCTCATCATTACAGTATATAACATAACAAGGCATATATGCACACACATGTATCTGGCTCTAGATGAAGGTCTAGTTTCTGTGCTATACTGGAACACATCACAGTCTTGTTTGGGGAACTTTAGGTTATTTTGTTGTGTGTTTTTAACAATGCAGACTTCTCTGGAGGGCAGATTTTCTGCAACTAATGCTCAACATTAACAACTTGATTGCAGGTTTAAAAAGTAAAGTCAGCCATAAGGATTTTTCAGTTGAGAAATCAAGAGTAAAGATTCCTTCCCCCTTCCCTTTGCTTTTCGTGGAAAAGGAAGTCTATTAGAAACTGCAACACAGAGTAACAGATAATGAGCACATGGAAGAGTCTGAGACTGGGTGCTGTGGGGCTGGGTAAACGGGTCAGAAAAGAGCCAGGGAGATCTGCATGGGTGTTGAGAAGCATGTGATGGCCACAGGGCATCAGCAGATGGATTAAATCAGGCTCCACATACTTGCACTTAGGAAGCAGGCAGTGCATAATACCTAATACGTTTTAAAGACAATTGTATAAACAAATATGTTGGAAGGCTTTGCCTTTACATGTGTTCCTTTTCAAACGAAACTCTAATTTACTCCAGGGAAATGGGCTGTTTGAATAGAAAAGGATCTTCATGACCTTTTTTTCTTTTTTTCCTTAGATTCTTTATATATGTGTTAGCGTACGGTATTTGTTTTTCTCTTTCTGACTTACTTCACTCTGTATGACAGACTCTAGATCCATCCACCTCACTACAAATACTCAATTTTGTTTCTTTTTATAGCTGAGTAATATTCCATTGTATATATGTGCCACATCTTCTTTATCCATTCATCCGATGATGGACACTTAGGTTGCTTCCATGTCCTGGCTATTGTAAATAGAGCTGCAATGAATATTTTGGTACATGACTATTTTTGAATTATGGTTTTCTCAGGGTATGTGCCCAGTAGTGGGATTGCTGTGTCATATGGTAGTTCTATTTTTAGTTTTTTAAGGAACCTCCATACTGTTCTCCATAGTGGCTGTATCAATTCACATTCCCACCAACAGTGCAAGAGTGTTCCCTTTTCTCCACACCCTCTCCAGCATTTAGTGTTTGTAGATTTTTTGATGATGGCCATTCTGATCAGTGTGAGATGATATCTCATTGTAGTTTTGATTTGCATTTCTCTAATGATTAGTGATGTTGAGCATTCTTTCATGGGTTTGTTGGCAACCTGTATATCTTCTTTGGAAAAACGTCTATTTAGGTCTTCTGCCCATTTTTGGATTGTGTTGTTTGTTTTTTGTTATTGAGCTGCTTGTAAATCTTGGAGATTAATCCTTTGTCAGTTGCTTCATTTGCAAGTATTTTCTCCCATTCTGAGGGTTGTCTTTTGGTCTTTTTTATGGTTGCCTTTGCTGTGCAAAAGCTTTTAAGTTTCATTAGGTCCTATTTGTTTATTTTTGTTTTTGTTTCCATTTCTCTAGGAGGTGGTTATAAAAGGATCTTGCTGTGATTTATGTCATAGAGTGTTATGAAGAACCTAGGGGTAAGACAGGAATAAAGACACAGACCTACTAGAGAATGGACTTGAGTATATGGGGAGGGGAAAGAGTAAGCTGTGACAAAGTGAGACAGTGGCATGGACATATATACACTACCAAATGTAAAATAGATAGCTAGTGGGAAGCAGCCGCATAGCACAGGGCGATCAACTTGGTGGTTTGTGACCACCTAGAGGGGTGGGATAGGGAGGATAGGAGGGAGGGAGATGCAAGAGGGAAGAGATATGGGAACATATGTATATGTATAACTGATTCACTTTATTATAAAGCAGAAACTAACACACCATTGTAAAGCAATTATACTCCAATAAAGATGATTAAAAAAAAAGAGAGAGCAATGAATAGAAAAGAAAAAGGTATAGTTTGTTGAGCTCCTACTTTGTGCCAAGCACATTACATAGAATCCAGAAATGTGAAACTGTTCAGAATGAATGTGAATATATGTAGGTGTATGCTGAAGAAATGTCTGTGTTTATCATGTGGCTTATTACTAGTGTTAATATTTATGTAAGTATTGATTCAAATCTCCAAAAATCATCTTGCAAGTGTTCTTTCCTAACAGTGTCATTGTAGTATTTCTATCAGAAGCATCAGAAATTTCTGTACTACGTTATCCTTGATGGGATTCTGCAGTTGACATCTTAACCTCAGATGTGACATTCAAAGAGTGTTTATTCAGAATTATCAGTCATTTCTTTTATATGTGAAGAAACCGAGGGCAGACATTATGAGGGTTTATTTAAGGGACTTACCTGAAAGTAACAAAATAAGAATATGAGAACTTTTTCCACATTTCTGATCTTCTTTACAGCCTCTTGATTTCCAAAATGAATTTGTATTTCATCTGCTTAACTAACCACCCACATTCAGATCTGAACATTTATGTACTGAGCCAGCACATTAGGAAGTCTACAGAGTCCCTGTTGCCTAGAACATTGATATTTGTTGATTCTATAGGAAAAAGTTCAAAATGAAATTCTACACCACTGCACTCCAGCATTTTATGGGGAAAAAAGAAGGAAGTGGTTGATATACATCATCAGATTTTTATGTGGCTAAAGAGAGATAATATGAATTTATTCATTCATTCTGCAAATGTGTTTAGCGGGTTTTATTCTGTAAAAGGCAAAGTCGGTACAATATGTATCCGAAAGAGATTCTGACAACATAAAAAATTTTTAAAGGGTCATTCATAAATCCACTGCGCAGAGGGAACTCTGTTACTATATTGGTCCCTTTACTTCCAATCTCATTTCTTCTCTTTATTTTAAAAAAATTGGATCTTACTATGCATACTCAGTTGGATTCATATTTCAGAGACTTAATTTTTTTTCATATAATGGAGAGTATTTTCTCCATGTCATGAATTATTCTTATTGGCTAGATGAGATTCCATTTTATATATGCTGTAATTTATCATGTTATTGAAACATCGAAGTCATTTCTGTTTTTCTTTCTTATAAACAATATTGCATCTAAGAACCCTAAATGTAAAGCTTTGGAAATATTCGTGATTGTTTCCTGAAGATGAATTCTTTGAAATGGATTTGTTGCATCAAAGTGTGTATACATATTTAAAGCTTTAGATACAGGTTGACAAATAACCCATCAGCAGTGTATGAGCTATAACTTTTGTTAGCATTTACTAGTTTAAAAAGTAAAAATGGTATACCATTCATGTATTCATTTAAGATATTTTTTTCTCAAAAGAATAGATATTTTCAACAATTATTTAGTACCTACTCTATGAATAGCCTGAGTAAGAGATATAAGGTTGAAAAAGTCATGTACACTTAACCTCACGAATTTTCCAACCTTGTACTCATATACATTTTCGTAAGCAGGCATATATGTATACGTAGATAAGTGTAACCTGTTCTATAAATGCCCCAAGGGCAGTAGCCAGATGGTATTTGGAGCATTGAACCAAGGAGTGATTAATCAGAGTAGGGAGGTTTCAGTAGCTGTCTGGGCCTTGAAAGATGAATAATACATCACAGCAGAGAGGTAGACTGGATTTCTCTCCAGATAGGGAAGCAGCCCAGGCCAAGGCCTTGATGAGGAAAGTGCTGGACTTACTGATTCATTCTGAAGAAGCTGAAATACAGTGTGTTTGGCATTAAAACTGAAAAGATCTGGTTCCTGTTTGAGGATGTGTCCTCAAAACCTAGTGTTAGTCAGTAAGAACAGTGTGCTGTTCCTGTTGAACAGTTTGGGCACCTTCAGGAAAATATTCTCATTGTCAGGGCACTAAGTAATTTGGTAAATTATGTCTTCTCGGCTTTTAGGTGGGTCAGTTTGTCTAAAATCACTCCATAATTTTAGATCGAGTTCCAGAAGTAAGATCTCTTAGGCCTGACCAAGCTAAGTAAGTCCCAGCTTTTATAATCCACTAAATACTTACCCTAGGAATTATTTCTTTAATCAGATTGTTAAAGGCAAACAATTTTTAAAATTATACTCTAGTGGCATGCAGCATTATTTGTATAAAGAAGATTAGAAACAACCTAATCCATCGCTAGGGATTGGTTAAATACATTACAGCCATTCTATAGAATACTGCGTTAATAGCCATTAAAAATAATAACATGGACATATATACACTACCAAACGTAAAATAGATAGCTAGTGGGAAGCAGCCACATAGC